GAGGAAGAGGAGGAGGAAGAGGAGGAGGAGGAGGAGGAGGAAGAGAGGAGGAGGAAGATGAAGGGGAGGAGGAGTGAAGGAGGGGTGGAGGGAAAGGGGGGAGAGAGGGGGAGCGAAGGAGGAGGAGGAGGAGGAGGAGGAGGAGGAGGGAGGAGGAGGGATACCGTGAGGATCAGAGCCCGAAGAGGCGAGCCAGCCTGGCGAGCGGTGGGGCTGGAATCCTCGGATGGCCCGCCGCCTGGCCGGCAGTCTCACGCGCCCGGCGGACAGTGCGAATACATACCTCACTCCAGGGTCTACCGCGGTAAGTTCGCGCCGCGTCGACGTGACGGTGGCCCCAGCGCCGGCGTTCAAGATTAGACGCAGCTTACGGCTCGTAACTGGCCGGCATCGCGGAGGACATGCGCTGTCGGAAAGCCGCAGTCGCTCGATGGCGAGCGATCCGCATAGCGCCGACGTCGTCGCGACGTGGACCCGCCGCATGCCGTTTCATGGGATCCAGCGAGCATGGTACAAGAAGCCCTTCTCCGGTTCCTCGTCCCCCTCCTCCCTCCTCCTTCCCTCCCTCCCCCTCCCTTCTCCAAGACCGTTGCCCAGTTCAGCCGTAGCCGCTTTGGCTCCAGCAGCGCCACTCTGGCTCGAGGCCCCTGTCCAGCTCGAGCCTCTCCGCAGCCGCCGCCGCTCGGGCGGATCTCACCACGGGCGCCGAGGCCGCGGGCGGGGGCGGCTCGGGCCTGCCAGCGGCCGAGGAGCGTCGGGCGGACGTTGCGCCAGCCGAGCGGAAGCGCCAGCGGGTGGGTCCGCGCGAGCTCTCGTCGGCCACGCGCAGAGAGTGGCACGGGCTCGGACGCCTCGGGCGCCCACGGCCTGCTCGGCGCAGGCAGGGGGAGGAGGAGGAGGAGGAGGAGGAGGAGGAGGAGGAGGAGGAGGAGGAGGAGGAGGAGGAGGAGGAGGAGGAGGAGGAGGAGGAGGAGGAGGAGGAGGAGGGGGAGGAGGAGGAGGAGGAGGAAGAGGAGGAGGATGGAGGAGGAGGAGGAGGAGGAGGAGGAGGAGGAGGAGGAGGAGGAGGAGAGGAGGAGGAGGAGGAGGAGGAGGAGGAGGAGGAGGAGGAGGAGGAGGAGGAGGAGGAGGAGGAGGAGGAGGAGGGGAAGAGGAGGAGGAGGAGGAGGAGGAGGAGGAGGAGGAGGAGGAGGAGGAGAAGGAGGAGGGGGGGGGCTTCCTAGAAAAAGGAGGCAGCTTCTTGGAGAGCGCGGGCGTTGTCTGTGCGTAGATGTAGGGCCGGCGCCGTCCAGGAGGCTGCCTCCCCCTGCCCCTCCCTGCGCGCCGCCAGTCTCGAGGCGGGACGGTTTCTGCTCCGACTGGGAGGTGTGGCTCGGCCGCAGCACCTACGAGCTGCACGCTTGCATCCTCGCGAGGGCGTGGCACTCATTTCTTCGAGAGCCACATCCGCACGGTGAGTCGGTCGGGGGGCGAGGGCGGCGCCGCAGCGGGAGCTTAGGCCACGAGCCGAGCCAGCGACCTCACCGCGGTTCTGCCCGTTCCGTGCCATGCAGTTTTCGAGGGGCGGCTGGACTTTGGGTACTCCACGGCTGCCGGTCACCAAGAGCTTCCTGCCCCGAAAGACTGCAGATGTTCTTGGGAATGAAGCGCCTTGTCGAGAAAGCCATGGAAGTGTTCGAGGGAGTATCCGCAGATTTTGCCTTAACCCTCCTGGTGCAACACGGCGAGGCCCACATTCCTGGAACGGGTAGAGGTGGATCCTTAGTCAAGTAACGCGGCGGTCTGCAGCAGGAGGTCGCTTAACGTTGTCGAGTCCTTGTCTCGGAGAAGGCGACAGCATCGAAACTGCAGAGGCCTCCTGCAAGCGTGCTGTGTGCAACATCTCGCGAGGGACGATATCCGCATGGCGTCCGAGGACGACGGGGCCCAGTTTGCCTGCAGCCGCTTCTCAACGTTCTCGGAGCGCGCGGCAGATAGCGGAGGCGAGACTGGCTGCGCTCGCAGACACGTCTGCAGGCCACGGGGGAGAAGAGGCCAGGTGGAGAAGCGCCCGCTGGGCCTCCGCTCCGTCGAGCCGCTCCTACGCCGGACTCGACGAGGGCCGCCCTTCACTCCCGCACGTCCCTAAAACAGGGCTAGGATCGAGATAAATCGCTCCAGAGCGTTCCGGAACGCTCTCAGAGCGTTCCAGAACGCTCTGGAGCGGCCGCGGCGCCCAATACATCCTCCAAACCCGCCGATTCTCAGAGATTTCGAGTTATCCTGATCCGATTTTGTCCCGATCTTCGCGTCGTTTTAGTCCCCGTGCAAGCGCGCGAACGTCGCGCGAGCTCGCGGAGCCGAGGGCGCCGGAAGGACAGAGAGGACCGGCCCCGCGGAGGCCGGCTAAGCCTCCGCGCGTGGCCCCGCCAAGCGGTGCAGAGAGTTTGCTGCGTGCAGCTGTGTCGCCCGCGGCGTCCAGGCCGGCGTGCTTTCCCAGCGAAGCATGTTGGTGAGATGAGCGCCTAAAACGACGCGAAGATCGGGACAAAATCTGATCGGGATAGCTCGAAATCTCTGAGAATCGGCGGGTTTGGAGGATGTATTGGGCGCCGCGGCCGCTCCAAAGCGTTCTGGAACGCTCTGAGAGCGTTCTGGAACGCTCTGGATCGATTTATCTCGATCCTAGCCCTGTTTTACATGTTGGTGAGATGAGCGCCCATTGGCCAGCGCAGGGGATCCTTCCTCTAAGTCATCCTCCCTCCATCCTCCCTCCTCCCTTTTTGACGCTGCGCGGGCTGAGTGCAACAGCATGGAGCCGTAGCCCCTCCTCTCTCCTCCTCCTCCCCCTCCCCCACCATCCTCCGACCAGCTGGCCGACCCGCTCGCCGCCCGCTCGGGCCCGCGAGATGATCGCCGCGTTCCACAGCCGCAGGGACATCCGCGGGCAGTTTCGCAGAGCTTTGAGCAGCATGCCCAGAGATCATAGAACAGCAAAGTGCGAGGTTGAAGGCATCCCACTGAAAGTCGGAGTCTTCGGCTGGGCACCAGGCGATGAGAACGTGACCACAACCATGGCGAGGCTGCTGGGCAGCATACGTCCGAGTCGCAAGGCGGACAGGCACGCAGCGGGAGGAGAGCGAAAGATGCAGCGCTTGCGCAGCCCCGACGTCTTTCTGCTCGGAAAAGTCTCCTTCGGTGATGACACGACCCTGTCGCGTGCACTGCAGGGCGCGCAGTCGTTGAGAGGCAGAAGGGCGGAGAGGCGCGCAGCCGTTCGACCGCTGCCGGGCTTGGGGGGTGCCACGCGGTTGTTGTTGTAGCACGTTGCGTACTTCTTCGAGTTGGATTGCAATGCCGTTGCAGGTGAAGCCCAGCCAGCGTAGAACCAGGAGGGAGGACCTCCAGAGGAGCTCCAAGATACGTCAACGAGGTTGCAACACGCCCTGCGTCCCAAATCCCCCCGGCATAGGACCCCAAACGCATGTCTTCTCATTGCGCAAAGTGTTCCCTTGAAGGGCGGGCGCCCCATTGGGCCTTCCATTCAGGCGAGAGCACGGCTTCGACAAGGCTCACCCTGAATTCTTGTTTCTACGAATGCCAAGAAGCAGAAGGTCATACAATCAACGCCTCTAGAGTAATATGGACGCGAGCCTTCATCTGGGGTACCCTTGTGTCCTTGCCTCTGCGGCCCGTCCTTTTCCGTTTTCACTGGTCGCCCGTCGCCCAATAAATCCCAATTTCGGTTTCCAAGGGTCTTGCGTCCTTACCACCCGTCCTGAATGCACGGTTTGATTGTAATGGTCAAGGGAGCGTCAATGCGGAACTTTGCTGTGAAATGGAGAGACTTCATCCGCAGAAGTAGTGTACACGTTCAGATCTATGGCCACGCGGTGTGAGGAAGTGCAAAGCGACCTCTTCGCGTTGATAAAGAAGCGCAGTATTTGCAAAATGTGATCGGTGTGTAAATGGTTGGGGAGATTCCCAGCGAGAACACAATGTTGAAAATGAACCGCCCACCATGTTTGAAATCGCCGCGTGCTCTACGACGAATGCGCGCAGCGTTAGTGCGAGAGCCAGATATGGGAAACCACCGCACCTCCGTCCGTGTAATTGATGACTGCGTGTGAACTGAATGTCTGCAGCGCGAGTGCGAGAATCACATGTTGAATATAATCGCACCTCCGTCAGCCTAGTGGCTGCAAACGTTTGAGACGATTGCGCGCGGCACAACATTGATTGAAAATTCTTGCGCTTACATATAAGGCACGCCCCACCAACACTTTTGGTGGAGCGACGACATGACGTTGTTCACAAGAAGGAGGGGTGGAGGAAGAAGAGGATAGAGGTGGAGGAGCAGGGAGGAGGGGGAGGAGGCGGAAGGACAGGGGAAAGGGGGAGCGGGAGGGAGGAGGGACAGGAGCGGGAACAGCGGGACGAGGAGGACAGAGAGGAGGAATGCGGCGAGCGGGAGCAGGAGAGCGGGGAGGCGGAGTAAGAGGGGCAGAAGGGGAAGAATTCAGCGGCGAGCGATGGGGGAGAAGTGAGAAGGAGAAGGCTTTCTGAGAAGGCGGCGGGACTTCTCAGAAGCCCTCGCGCCTGTTGTGTTTTCGGGGAAGGCTCAGAAAACCGTTCAGAAGTCTGGGGGACTTCCGAGCCTGAGAAGGCCCGCCCCGTCTCACTTCCCCCCCTCGCTTGCCGCCGAAAGAAGCAAGGAGAAGGGCAGGAGGCGGAGGAGGAGGGGAAGGACGGGGAAGGCAGAGGATGTTGATGAGGAGGAGGAAGAGGAGGAGGAGAGGGAGGAGGGGAGGGAGCAGGGAACAGGGGACAGGGGAGGAGGGGGAGGGAGAGGCGGAGGGGGAGGAGGAGGAAGATGATGAGGAGGAGGAGGAGGAGGAGGAGGAGGAGGGGCAGGAGGAGGAGGAGGAGGGGGATAACGGGGGATGAGGAGTGACGACAGCGAGAGTAGGCGCGCCCTAGCGGCAGGCGGCGACGAGAAAAGAGCAAGCGCGGCCTGGCAGATCCGGTTGCTGGCGGGCCAGGGCCTCGCCAGGCTTGCGGAGCGACCCTCCGAGGCCATCCTGGCCCACCTGAACGGCGTGGTCTCGCGCGTCGTCGCCACCGTCGTCGTCGTCGGTGGCCCCGCCCTCATTTCTCGCTCGCCTCCTTCCTCCTTCTCCCCCCTCTGTCGTTTCCTCGTGCTCCTCCTCCTCATTCCTCCTCACCCCCTTCGCTGGGGCATGCTACAGGGTCGATCTGTCCGGACTCTGTCTTTCCTGCCTTCTCTTTCCCCTCTTCATTCCTCGTCCCTTCTCCCTTCTACGCAGCGTGAGGCGGAAAAAGAGGAGGGATGAGGAGGAGGTTTAGCTAGTGCGGATGTGCCGATCTGAACGAATCAAAACAAAACCAAAGCGAGATCGGGATCTCACTTGCGAGGAGGAGGAGAAGGAGGAGCAGGAGGAGCAAGAGGAGCAGGAGCAGGAGGGAAGGCAGAGGACGGAGGCGAGCGACGCCCCCAGCGCAGGTCATCCCGAAGCTCGTCGCCCGGGCCCTGGAGGACGGCGCTCGTTCTCGGCGCCTGCGACGCGTGACCCAGAAGGAGGAGGAAGAGGAGGAGGAGGAGGACGACGACGACAAGGACGAGGACGAGGAAGAGGAGGAGGAGGAGGAGGAGGAGGAGGAGGCGGATGGATGAGGAGGCGGATGGAGGATGGAGGATGGAGGAAGGAGGAGCAGAGAATGATGAGGGCTTGCATATACACAGGACGCATCAGCGATGCTGAAATACACCCTCGCTGAAATACACGCTCTCCTGTTCACCAGAAGAAGCGCCCTCTTGAAAGACGAGCACCCCATTGGGCCTGCCATTCAGGAGACAGCTCCGTTTTGAAAAGGAATTGAGCGGCATCCGTCCAGCGAGTTGTCATGAAGGCTAAAAGGTAGGACCGTCAAGTTCAACGATGTGCCCAGCGAGGGCCCCGTTTTGAGAAGCCCCCCCCCTGCCCGTGCAGCTGTCACACAGGCTTGCGCTTCCGGCCACTGAACCTGGGGCAGCCGCAAGCCAGAGCCACAGTGCGAAAAGGAAAGCCCGTTCACCCGGTTCAGTCGGGGGCAAAGATAAGGGGGAGTATGCATAGGGGGGGATGCATCGCCCCCTAATCCCCCATTGATCGCCGATATGGGCCCGATAGCCCCACTCCGCTCAGGAAGGTGCGGTTTCGCTATCGTGGGCCTATTGCCGATCTATCGGCGGTGTATCGCCGATTCCAGGTCGGTGCATCCCCCCTATTCCAGTCCCCCCCTATCGTTGCCCCTCATTCAGTTGCTACATCTCTTCCATCTTCGTGTCCTTTCCCGTCAACCCGCATAGCAAGGATGGGCAACCTTCCCAAGGATATCCTTGCATCCTTGCCTCCTCGGTCCATCCTTGGCCACGTTCGTTGGCCGCGCCCCGCTCGAAAAGCTTCGAAGTGGGCGTCCAAGGCCCTTGCATCCTGATCGCGCATCCCTATGATACGGGCCGACCGTAGTTTGAGGAGGGGGAGGGCGGGAGGGAGGGACACATGGGAGGCTGCGGGGAAAGACCGCAGCGAGACGGAGCCCCCCGACGGAGAAGTGGGTTTCGGTGGCGGTCCGTGCCGTGCGTGGCGCGCGTGCGGGCAGGGCAAGGTTGCGCGGTTGACCCGTAGCTGTCCAGTAGTTGCCCAGTAGCCGTCCCGTGGTGGTCTTGTGGTTGTCCCACGGTCGTTCCGTAGTTGTCCCGCGGTTGTCCCGACGTGGTCCCGTGGTTGTTTTGTGGTTGTCCCTAGGTGTCAATCGGTTGTCCCCTGGTTGTCACGTGGTGGTTTCGTAGTCGTCTTGCGGTTGTTCTGTGGTTGTCTCGCAGTTGTCCCGTTGTTGTTCCGTGACTGTCCCGTAGTTGCCCCGAGGTTGTCCCGGCCGTCGATCGTTCTGTAGTGAGACCATGAGATTGTGAGACCAACACATTGACAATGAGATCGGTAAATGTGTATACAGACATATATATATATAGTGCTGGAGAGGTCGGCAGATAGTGAGACCGCAAAGTCAGCTGGCCTGCATACATGTGTATCGAAGGTTGGGGGATGAGATCGAAGTGGAACGGAGAGCCCCCCTTTCGGGAAATCGATTCCGGTTTCGTGTTCGTTCGCGTGCGGGCGAGGCGAAGCTGCGTGGGCGGGGGAGAGGGAATTCTCCTGTGGCTGGGCCGCGGCTGGACAAAAAGGTTCTCCGCCTGGCAACCGGTGGCGCGCGGTGTCCCGCCGGTGTCCCGCTGGTGTCCCGCTGGTGTCCCGCCGGTGTCCCGTCGTGGCTGGGTCGTGGCCGGACCAAAAGGTTTTCCGCCCGGCAACCGGTGGCGCGCGGTGTCCCGCCGGTGTCCCGTTGGTGTCCCGCTGGTGTCCCGCCGGTGTCCCGTCGTTGTCCCGTGGTGTCCCGTGGTGAGTTCGACAGTGAGGTCGATAGTGAGATCGATAGTGAGATCGATAATGAGACCGATAGTGAGATCGATAGTGAGATCTATAGTGAGAGATCGATAGTGAGATCTATAGTGAGATCGATCGTGATATCGATCGTGATATCGATAGTGAGATCGATAGTGGGATCGATCGAGTTGGATCGATAGCGAGATCGATAGTGGAATCGATACTGAGATGAATAGTGAGATCGAAAGCGAGATCGATAGTGAGATCGATAGCGAGATCGATAGTGGGATCGATAGTGGGATGGATAGTGAGATCTACAGTGAGATCGATTGTTTCCCGTCGGTGTCCCATCGGTGTCCCGTCGGCTGGCGCTGAATCGTGTGTCGTCAGAACAACAATCACCACTGTTGCACATTGCTGGCCCCCTCCCCCCAACCTCCTTATCACCCGCAGGGTGGTCGTATAGGTACACGTATAGATATTATCCGTAAGGTCTTCGCCCTCTGCCGCCGGCACCCTCTCTATAGGAATAGGAACTGCCAGAACTACGTTAGGATGCCTGGGAGCCGACTTGAAGCAATATCGGAACCTCAGAAGGGATCGTCGGGGATCGTGGTCTCAGGGGCGCGAATCTGGCGTCATCGGAGATTGGGGGGTGAGATCGCAATGGAACGGGGACCCCCAACCGGGAAATCGTTTCGTTTGTGTCGTGCGTGCAGGCGAGGCGAAGCTGCGTGGGCGCGCGAGAGGAATGAACCCGCCAGTGCTAGGGCGAAGTCAAGACAAATGATTCTCCCCCTCCCGCCCGTCCGGCGGTGGCCCGCGGTGTCCCGCGGTGTCCCGTGGCGTTCCGTGGTGTCCCGTGGTATCCGCCGTTGCTAGGGCGAAGTCAAGACAAATGATTCTCCCCCTCCCGCCCGTCCGGTGGTGGCCCGCGGTGTCCCACGGTGTCCCGTGGTGTCCCGTGGTGTCCCGCGGTGTCCGCCGTTGCTAAGGCGAAGTCAAGACAAATGATTCTCCCCCTCCCGCCCGTCCGGCGGTGGCTCGCGGTGTCCCGTGGTGTCCCGCGGTGTCCAGTGGTGTCCCGCGGTGTCCGCCGTTGCTAGGGCGAAGTCAAGACAAACGATTCTCCCCCGCCCGCCCGTCCGCCCATCCGTCTGGCGGTGGCTCGCGGTGTCCCGCGGTGTCCCGTGGTGTCCCGTGGTGTCCCGTGGTGTCCCGTTGAGTGAGATCGATAGTGAGGTCGATAGCGAGATCGATGCTGAGAGAGGTGTCCCGTGGTGTCCCGTGGTACCCCAAAAGGTGAGATCAATAGAGAGATCGATAGTGAAATCGACAGATGGCCCGTGGTTTCCCGTGGTGTCCCGTGGTGTCCCGTTGAGTGAGATCGATACGGAGATCGATATTGAGATCGATGTGGTGCCCCGAGGTGTCCCAAAAAGTGAGATCGGTAGTTAGATCGATAGTGAGATCGACAGGTGCCCCGTGGTGTCCCGTGGCGTCCCGTGGTGTCCCGTTGGGTGAGATCGATAGTGAGATCGATAGTGAGATCGATGTGGTGTCTCGAGGTGTCCCGTGGTGTCCTATGGTGTCCCGTTGAGTGAGATCGATAGTGAGACCGATAGCGAGATCGAGAGGTGTCCCGCGGTGTCCCGTGGTGTCCCGTGCTGTCCCGTTTAGTGAGATCGATCGTGAGATCGACAAGTGTCCCGTGGTGTCCCGTGGTGTCCCGTTGAGTGAGATCGATAGTGAGATCGATTGGAACAGATGTTGGTTCCCCCCCTACCCCCCCCACAACCTACTTATCACCCGAAGGGTGGTCGTATAGGTCTACCAGGTGTTATGGCCCCGGGAGCGCGAACCTGGTGTGTTTTGCCAGTTGTTCTGGCCTCGGGAGCGCGAATATCGTGTAACTGACAGAAGGTTTTGGCCTCGGGAGAGCGAATCTAGCGCAATGTCTACGGGATGTTTTCGCGAGCCTGGCGTAATTTACTAGGGATTCTTGCTTCAGGGGCGCGGGTGACACGTACTTGCACGTGTCCCAGACACACCAGAAGTTCAGGCAACGCGATTCGGGCGTGGTGGTCAGGGCGGTTTTCGGCCCCCCCTTCGCGCGGACAGTAACAAGTTACAGCAAAACAGAATGTAGAACTATAAAATTGGAGACTCGAAATTGTTAGTGGCGCAGGAAGCGGGACCCCCCCCGGCACGCAGCTTGATGTCCTCACAAGGGGGCAGGTGGATATTGACAGTGATCTCGCTAGGGCCGGCCAATCGAGCACGATCGTTCTTTGTGGTGGACGGGTATAGCCCCCATGTGGGGAAGCGGATTTGCCTTGGGGGTGGAAAAAAGACAGTGATCTCGCTAGCTCGTGAGACTGCCAAGTAGTAAGACTGACCAGTGGACAGTGAAATCTGTAGATAGATAGCTTGATCGTGAAAGGGATAGATTGCGAATCCGATCCGGAGGACACCCCCCCGCGCGTGGCGGCGCCAGTGCTCCCCGGAGGTCTGGACCCCCGAGCGGACCAGCCTCGCGTCCTGGGCCGCTCTTGGCCCGGGGGCGGTTCAGAGGAGCGTGATGACCGGGTGGGGGGGGGGAACGGGGGGACCTCATGATTGGCGCCACGATGTCGCATCGGGCTCCATGGCCCCCTCTCTGTCCGCACGCCCCCTGGTCCCCCCCCTCTCGTCCGCGCACGTGCCTCGGGCCGCGATGTGCGGAGCCCCCTCTTGGGCGCCCCCTCCCCAGCGCCCCAGACGGACGCTCCCGGAGCGACGCGCGCGAGGGCCCTCAGGAGGCCGAGAATTGCCGAAGCCTCGGGCATGTCGTAATGGGGAGGCGACAAGTGGACAGGGGGGGATCGAAAGGTTTAGCCCTGACCCCCTCGAGGCATGGAAAGCTCACGACGGGAGGTTTTCTGCTGTTGGCGGCCTCTGGGAGCCCTTACCGAGCCTCGGGACCGTCAAAAGACGATTCGGGACGAAAAGATTTAGTCCCTGGGAAGGGGTCGAGACCTGTGGGGGTCGACGCTATGACAAAATCATGACGTCGGGGGTCGGGGAGGAAAGGGGCCACAAAAGTGCACGAGCGGTGCACCTTTCTTCACTCCCCTGATCATTGCCCCCCCGTAAAGCAACGCCCGACCAGGTCGTCCTTGACAGTCCCGGGGCCCGGCGAGGGCCCCTGGAGGCAGGAAGTTCTCAAAATCAGGTCGTCGTGTTTTTCGCTCGGTTGCGCGCAAGGGTGACATTTCGCCGGAGTGACCTTTGGGTGCGCGGCTTTCGGTGGGCGCTGCGGGGCCAAGCCCAAGCGCGCAGGTCGCTAGCATCGCACCGTGCGCAGCGGCCAGGAATCCGCTCACCAAGGGTTCTTATTGCCGAAGGTTCACTCTCACGAGTAGCCTATCACACTGCGCGATGAGGTCAGGGGCGGGCGGACAGAAGAAAAGCACGGCCGCCAGGGGACGGAGCCGAAGCCGGGCGCCGCGGCGGCCGCCGCGCCGTCCGCTGGCGGCGGGCTGGCGGCTGGCACGGCGCCGTCGTCGCCGTCGCCGCCGTCTTCGCCACCGCCGCCGCCGCCGTTGCCGTCACTGCCGTCTCCACCGCCGCCGTCGCCGCCGTCGTCTCCACCGTCGTCTCCACCGTCGTCTCCGCCGTTGTCTCCACAGTCGTCGTCGTCGTCGTCGCCTGCCGTCGTCGCAGGGCATTTGGGCGAGGGGCGGCGGTGGTGCGGGCGGGGACGAAGGCCAGGATCATGGCGACGGAGGGAGGAGCGCAGCACACGCTCACGGCCGACTTCGCCTGGCATCGCTCGGACGAGTGCGCTCCTTTCTTCCGGCGAGGGCCATCGAGGAGCATCCCGGATCATCTTGGAAACGGGCACGCACGGAACCGAACAGTGCACGGGGAAGCGGCCGTCCGAGCGATGGCGAGCTCGTCCTCCCTCCCTCCCGACGACCCTCGTCGCCCGTGCGCGGGCGCGGGGCCCCGGCGGAGCCCGCAGGTGCAGTCCAGGCACGGCGCCGTGGTCGGCGCGGCCGCCCTCACTCGGGCCCTGCAGGAGCCCCCCCCCGCCCTGCGCGGCCCCGGCGCCTGCCGAGGGCGGCACGCTGCCGCGCCTCGCCCCGGGCCGCTGCGCGCGGCGGGCGCGGACGCTCCGTCCCCGGGGCGCCCCGCCAGAGGGGGGCGAGTCGAGGCAGCGGCAGCTGGCCTTCGGGAGGCGCCCTCGTCGCCACGGCTGGACGCAGCTCGGCGAGCTGGTGCGTCTGGAACCAGCGAGGGGTTGGGAGACCGGTTCGAAGCTGCCGCTGTCTCGCCTCGCCCCGCGCCGAGCCCCGGGGGGCGCGCGGGCCTCGCCCTCGACGGGTACGCTCGAGACGGGTAGGGAAGGAGCGGGGACGGGGGCCCAACAGCAGTGCTGACTCATTCTGGACAGCATGCCCAGTTGCCTGCCCAGTTGCCCATGCCCTGACGCATTCCAGTTGCCCATGCCCAGTTGCCCGTGCCCATGCCCAGTTGCCCATGCCCAGTTGCCCGTCCATTTGCCCATGCCCAGTTGCCCGTCCAGTTGCCGTCCAGTTGCCCATGCCCAGTTGCCCGTCCAGTTGCCCGTCCAGTTGCCCATGCCCTGACGCATTCTGGACAGCATGTCCAGCGAGGCAGGCCGACGCATGCGCAGTTGCCTGTCGGTCCCGGGCAGCACCTGCTGTTGGGCACCGTGCCCGCTGTTGCATGATTCCCCCCACACAGCGTGTTGCGTCTGGGGGTTCTCACTTGTCCCCCTGAGGAATTGGTTGGGTCCGTCGAAGATTTTCCGCGTTGTCGCCTCGTCTCCGGCCGTTGCCGCCTCGTTGCCGTCTCGTGCGTGGGGTAGGTCCGGCGAGGTCTCGCCACGTTGCCGCCTCGTTGCCGCCTCTTCACCGCTTCGTGCGGTGGGTGGGTCTGGCGACGTTTCGCCACGTTGCTGGCCGTTACCGCCTCGTTGCCGCCTCGTGCGTTGGGTAAGTCAGGCGAGGTGTCGCCACGTTGCCGCCTCGTTGCCGTCTCTAGCATGCACCACGCATGTTGCACCACATATGTGTTTGCATCGCGTGGCCCATGCATCCACAGTGCAATAACTTATTGTTTGGGGTCCACGCTGGCTAACACATGCATGAAAACATCCAATCGCACATATAGATGCATGTGTTTCCAAAAGTGCTTGCACTTGGGGACTCCCATTTCCCTTCTGAGGAACTGGGCCCGTGTGTTGGCCTGGCGGCCCAGTTCCCGTCCGTCGCCGCCCTCGCTTTCCCAACAAGCGGCCCGTCTGTTGGCTCGGCGGGCCCGTTCCCGTCCGTCGCCGCCGCCCTGTTGCAAACTCCCCCCCGTTGCGCCCCCCCCGACCCTTTGCATCGCAAGCTTTGCTTTGCCTTCCATTACTTTATACTGCATTGCATTGCATTGTTTCGCATTGCTTCGCATCGCATTACATTGCGTTGCATCGCTTTGCACCACTCACCACCTAGATTGCCCCTCGTTGATTGTGCCACCTATATTGCGCCGCATAGATTGTACGAAATCGTTGTTTGGGGTTCACGCTCTCTAACATGTGTATAGCGCCAGGACGGTCTCATCTAGAAAACCCGCCGACATGCATGAATATACGTGTGAACATATATATATATATATGTGTATATATGCATACATACATACATACATACATACATGCATGCATGCATGCATGCATGCATACATACATACATACATACATACATACATACATACATACATACACACATACATACATACATACATGCATGCATGCATGCATGCATGCATGCATGCAGCATGCATGCATGCATGCATGCATGCATGGCATGCATGCATGCAAGCATACATACATACATACATACATACATACATACATACATACATACATACATACATACATACATACATACACATACATGCATGCATACATACATACATACATACATACATACATACATACATGCATGCATGCACATACATACATACATACATACATACATACATACATACATACATACATACATACATACATACATACATACATACATACATACATACATACATACATACATACATACATACATACATACATACATGCATACATGCATGCATGCATGCATGCATACATACATACATACATGTGTGTATGTGTGTGCGTGTGTTCATCGGCGGAGAGCCGGCGAAAGCAGAACGGGGGTGGCATCGCCGGCGGAGAGCGGCGGCAGTCCAAGGTTAGGCGTCAGCATATTGGGATTCAGGGTCCAGCCAGAGTCTGGGCCGCAGCACCTGCACCCAGTCCAGTCCAACACGTCCTGAGTGCCACGTCCTGAGTGCCGCCCCCACAGCCTTCTCTCTCCGCGGCCGCCCTCCCTCCTTCGCGCTGCTGCTCATTCGTTTTTTCGCAACCCGGCACAGCCCAACCGATGTGTGCGTTCGCCGAGTCCGCGGCAAAGAATGTTTTACATTCAGGGTTTCCGGGTTCGTTTAGGGCCCGCAGATGACGGAGCGCGTCGGCCTCCGACTTTTCGGCGCTGTTTCACCGAGGTTTCGGGAGTAGAAGACGGCCCAGGCCGTCTCTCCCCCCCGACACTTCAAAAACACTCCCCTGGCTCCACCTTCTGGCTTCCCCTCCGCCCTGCTTCATGGGCAACGCCAGGAGGAGAAGGAGGAAGAGGAGGAGGAGGAGGAGGAGGAGGAGGAGGAGGAGGAGGAGAGGGAGGAAGAGGAGGAGGAGGAGGAGGGAGGAGGAGGAGGAGGGGAGGACAGGAGGAGGAGGAGGAGGAGGAGGAGGAGGAGGGCGGAGGGCTGCAGGCTCACTGTTGAGGGGGGGGGGGGGAATGCCTTGACCTCCAATCGCACACTGATCACCGCTAGGGGCCCGAGAGCCCACTCCGCCCAGGAGCGTGCGGCTGTTTCCGCTACGGGGGGCCCATTGCTGATATATCGGCAATGCATCGCCATTTCTAGCCAGATGTGCCCCCCCTGAGCCATTCTTAAGTCGGGCGTGTCCCTCTCCAGGAGGAGTATTCAAAAATATTCCAAAAAGCACTCCGGTGACGATTTTTCTAGTACTTCTGTGACTGGTTTAGGATACGCTCTGACTTTTTAAATCTGTCGCCCAAAATCCGCCTGTAGGGGGACATGCCCGACCTAAAGCCATTCCCCCGAAACCGGAGCAGCTGGCCTTCGGCGGAAGCCAGCGGGAGTCCAGGACTAAAAAAGGCGTTGGGCCCGTCCGTGGAACGCGGCGGAAACAAGTAAGACGTCAACATTGTAGGATCTTGGGTTGTTGGAATCGGCCATATGTTGCGCCAGTCATCAAGAAAAGCAGTCTTCCTTTCCCCCTTCGTTCTGGCCCGACGTTTCCTCACCAGCTCCCAAGTGGCTAGCCCAGCTTCCTAACCGCCGTACAGGTGCATGTGGCTGCACGCGCAAGACACGCTTTGCGATTGCTGAAGTCGTGGCTAGAACAGCTAGGCCAGGCGTCTTGGGCGGATTGCTTCTGAATCGTCCCGTCGGGTGTATCATGCTTCTGCGCGGGCGCACGGCCCCCTTCTGCTGCGAGGGTGCGTGGGGCGATGCGCCAGGCGACGGGCAGGCTTCACCAGCCACCAGCACTGTCACGGCTCGTCTCGGGAGGGGCTCGGGGCTCCTTCGCTCCTCTGCCTCCCCAGACCCCCGACGTCATGATTTTTTCATGACGCGACCCCCACAGGTCCGGACCCATTCCCCGGGACCGGTTTGTCATCCTGAGTCGTTTTTTGACGGTCCCGAGGCCTGGTGAGAGCCCCCGGAGGCCGAAAGCAGCGAAAAACCTCCCGTCGTGATTTTTTCATGACCCGAGGGGGTCTGGGTCTCCACCTGACCGCTGGCGCGGCCGCGGCGCCTGACGCATCCCCCCCGGGCCCGCCGGCTCCGAGAGCTCCCCGAGCCACGCCTCGGCCCGAGGGCCGGGCCTCTGCCCTGCCGCCGCCGCATACCCCGGGGACGGGCACCGAGGCTCGGGGCTCGGGGCTCCTTCGCTCCTCTGCCTCTCCACCTGACCGCTGGCGCGGCCGCGGCGCCTGGCGCACCCCCCCCGGGGCCCGCCGGCTCGGAGAGCTCCCGAGCCACCTCGGCCCGAGGGCCGGGCCTCTGCCCTGCCGTCGCCGCATACCCCGGGGACGGGCGCCGGGGCCCGCGGGCCCTCGGCGAGGGAGGCGGGCCTCGGGCCCCGCGGGGGCCTCGGCTTATGTCGGGCGTGTCCCCCTACAGGGGGAGTTTCGACGACAACACAAAAAATACCCCAAAAATGCACCAAAAAGGTCCAAAAATACTCCAAAAATAGTCCCTGGACTATTTTGGGGCTATTTGTTTATTATTTGTGGGGTCCCTGGGCTAGTTTTGGGCTATTTTTGAATAATTGTTGGGGGGTATTTTTTTATCTTTCGCCGAAAATCCCCCTCTAGGGGGACAGGCCCGACACAAGCCTTGCCTCGGGGCCCGCGCCGCGCCCCGCGCCCTGCTCCCGGCGGCCTCCCCCGGGAGCCCGGGGCTCGGTCCCCCCGGGAGGCCGAGGGGTCGGCGGCGGGCCTCCCGGCCCGAGGGCCCGCCTCCCGCGGGCCCCGCCTGGAGGGTTTCTCCGAAGGGCTTGGGCGGTCCGTGCTCCTCCTCCTCCTCCTCTCCTTCCTCCTCCTCCTCCTCCTCCTCCTCCTCCTCCTCCTCCTCCTCCTCCTCCTCCCCTCTCCTCCTCCTCTCCACCTCCCTCCTCCCCTCCTCCTCATCCTCCTCCTCCTCCTCCTCCTCCTCCTCCTTCCAGCCCTCTCCTCCCTCCTCCTCCTCCTCCCTCCTCCTCCTCCTCCTCCTCCCCTCCTCCTCCTCCTCCTCCTCCTCCTCCTCCTCCTCCTCCCATCCTCCTCCTCCTCCTCTCCTCCTCCTCCTCCTCCTCCCCTCCACCTCCTCCTCCTCCTCCTCCCCTCCTCCTCCTCCTCCTCCTCCTCCTCCTCCTCCTCCCCTCCTCCTCCTCGCTCCTCCTCCTCCTCCTCCTCCTCCCTCCTCCTCTCCCTCCTCCCTCCTCCTCCTCCCTCCTCCTCCCTCCCCTCCTCCTCCTCCTCCTCCTCCTCCTCCTCCTCCTCCTCCTCCTCCACCTCCTCCACCTCCTCCTCCTCCTCCTCCTCCTCCTCCTCCTCCTCCTCCTCCTCCTCCTCCTTCTCCTCGGGTCGCCTACGGCCCCGGGGGAAACCGTGCAGCCCCGCCGCCTCACAGAGCTTGCCGACGGTCGGGCCCTGGCAGGAGCGAGGTCGGCTCTCGGAGGGGATGCCCAGGCGCTCCCAGGCGCTCCCAGGCGCTGCCCCCTGGTGCTCGTCGTGCGTTCTGAGATGTTGTTGTTGTTGTTGTGCAGCCAGGGGAGGGGTGGCCTTGGCTGTTCTGTGCGTTTCGGCCTGCGGGGGGTCTCATGTGTCGAAGGATGCTCTTCTGTCCTGAGGCCGACAAGACCCCGCCTCCGCTTCCAGACAAAACCAAGACATACCGCGCCTCTTCGCCAAGCAGCCTCTCTGTTGTGGGCCACCCCACGGGTGGTTTGGTGTCATTTTCGCTCCCGTTTGGAGACGAGGGCGGTGAAAGGCGAGGTCAGTCCGGTTGCCTCTCACTGCCGCATGGCTGCCAGGAGCTCCTGGCCGTGGAGAGCCAGACGTCCCTTTGCTCAGGCCCCTTCCCTCCGGCCCCTTTGCTGTGCTCCGGGACCCTCAAGACGTGTGTTGGCCCTCTGTGTGTGTGCTATTCCCTTCGGCTCCACCGAGTGCACGCAGCCTTCACCCGCCCCCACGAGACCGCCCGCGCCGCATCGACGGGCTGCGGGGGACGAGCACTCGCTGGCGCCGCTGGCACGCGGCCGGAAAGATCCTCGCCTCATGGCGGCCAGGAGCTCGTGGCCGCGGAGAACCAGACGTCCCTGCGGAACCTGGTGCCCGCGCTGGAGAAGCTCCGCGCCTACCGCGGGCGGGGCGGCGAGGCGCCGCCCGCCCCCCCGAGCGAGAGCCTGCGGGGCCGGGGGGGCCTCGGCGGAGCAGCAGCGGGAGGCGGCCGGAGGGGCTCGGTCTGCGCACCACGCCGTGGCGTCGGCCAGAGGTCGATGGTCTCCAGGACGCGTGTGAGCCTGACGTGTGCGCTTGCCCCGTGCGGCCCCGTTGTCGCCCGTGGGTGCCCCGGCGCCGCGGCCCGGCAGCTGCCATGGATCCCGCGGACGGGGCTGGCCGCGCCAGCACACTCAGGTGCGAGTTCTTCCACCTCCGAGTGGCCTCTTTTCCCCCCCATCCACCTCCGCGGCCGCCTCGTCTGTCCTCTTCCTGCTCTTGCACGCTGGCCACTTCGCTTCTCGGTGCCCCCGTTGAGCTCTGGCGCGGGTGCAGCCAACTCTGCCTCGCCGCCGACGAAAAAAGTGTTCCCCGTTCAGCTCCACCGATGGATCATTCCACCGCCTGCGCCGTATGCAAGGGCTTCGACGGACAAGCACACGTTGGCGCTGACACACGTTCTGAGGATCATCGGAAAGAGGCTGGGGGCCTGAGGTGGCCCAGCAGTGGCTGCGGTGAGCAGGAAGGCGGCGGGCGAGGCTCGAGGTGCTGGGCTCGAGCACTTGTTTGTGTTGCCCTTTGCGGTCTCTGGGGGGGGTGAAGAGTTGCACCAGACAGACCCCGGAAGGGGCCCGGGGACCGATTTCGAGAGCATGCGTCTCCACTCCCCATCTTGGCCGCTCTTCTCGGGGCCCAGCCAACTCAGACCCCCCGGCCGCCCCCAAGTCGGAGGGGCCCGACTTGTACACCACGTCGTTCGGTCGGCCAAGGAGCCAAGGCGTTCGGCGGAGGAGCTCGAGACGCTCCAGCGTCCCACAGGTTTCTGGCAGGACAGGCGGGGCGTCTATGCACCGAGCTCCTCAGACGACCAAACGACGGGGCGTCCGCATCGAGCCCCTCTTAGAAGAGGGAGGGGGGTAATGAGAGCGAGGGGGCGTATACATCGAGCCCCTCCTAGAAGGGTTGGGCGGGGGGCTGGGTGGGGGGGGGGGGGGGGCGAGGAGGAGCTCTACGGCCCTGGTGTGGCTACCCCCCCCCCACCCTGGCGGGTGCTGCTCTGCGGGGCTGGCCGTCGCTCCCAGGGCATCCTGGGAGAGTCGCCCAAGTCTGTGGCTGGGCTCGCTCTTTCTCGCGCGCCCCCTGCTCCGTCTCGTCGGGGAGGGCCCCGGGGACCTCCTGGAGGTAGAGAGAGTCGACTACACGTAGGAGTGACCCTTCGCCGGAGTGGCCCTTGGGTGCGGGCCCACAAGGGGGGCCCCCCGATCGCCGAACGCGATGCGACAGCAGCGCCTTGCACGCTTGTGTGTTGGCCCCCCCGCGGCCCCCAAAAAGCCGCGCACCAAGGGTCACCCTTACCCAGGGTCCCTCTGGCGGCGTGTAGTCGAGAGGCGCCCGCCGGGGCCGGCGGTTCGGCCGCGTCCGAGGCTCGGAGCTGGTCGGCAGGGCGTCCGGGGCCGGACGAGCTGCGCGCGTCTGGGGTCCCGGGGGGTCCGTGGACGGCGGTCGGCGGTCGGGAACTTTGGCTCAGCGTGTCGCACCGCCGGCTCTGGCCCAGTGCGCTTCGGCGCGACACGCTATCCACGTCCCAGTCCCAAGGCGTCAAGGTCCCGAGCCTGTCTCGACCTCCCGCGGAGCGGAGCGACACGCTATCCGCTTGCACGGCACAACGTGTCGCCGGGGCCGCCGCCGCGACACGCTAAGCAAAAGTTCCGACCGTATCTGTCAGGACCCCCATCCTGGATCATGCGGTTTTGAAGAGACTGCTGCTGGGTGGCAGCAGATGGGGGCGCAAGCATAGGCGCTGTAGTTGGTAATAACAGAGTTCCAGCTGGGGAGTTGTTACATGCTTTCCAGAGCCGTGCTGATCAAACACGGCGTGGTTTGTACATAATTGTGCATTGGCCAAAGAAGACAACGTGTCCTAGGCCTTCGTCAAAGAAACAGCGGCTTGCGTTCTCCAGGCCACCCCTGCTTGGATAATAGAAGGCCGGTGATAAAGATAATAGGCAATGCAATTGTTCGCGCCGTGGTATGTCGCGCTCATTGACGCAATAGTCGTTAAAAAAGCCGTGATAGCTCGGGCGGGTTCGAACCACTGCAATCCTCTTGGCGGGGATCTGGGTCTCGCCAGTGAGCCAGAGGAAAGCTATTGGTCCGATCGTGCGCCACGCAATGTTAAGAAATGGTCGGAGGTCATATCCGCAGAGAGTGCCGTCGCGCCTCCGCCGCAAGCAGGACTGGCTCCGTGCGGCAGACGCAGCCGGAGGGAGAGCGCCGGCCGCGTGTGCTCGTCATCCAAGGGGTGGTCCTGCCGCGTCGGGGGCGGGGAGGAAGCCCCCGCGCCCTGCCCGCCGGCGGAGAGAGGCCGGCGGCCTCGCTCGCGGGCAGGGATGCCAGCAGGCTGGCACGGCGCTGCTCCTGCGCTGGCTGGGCCAAGCACTTCTGCGCGCTGTCTCACGGCGGTCAGCTGCGGCGTGGGCCCAGGCAGCGGCGCTCACCCCAGCCAGCTGCCCCGCCTGCTCGGCCGTCGCCCGCGTCCAAGGGGCGGCGAAGGCCTGCGGCCTGTGGGGCTCACCAGCTCGCGGCGCACGTCCGCCGAGCGCGCATGCCAGGAGCCCACGGGCGCGGGCAGGCGTCGCTCCTCCAGGCCGTGCAGGTCGAGCCCGCCGCGGGCCGGCAGCAGGTGGGCCGTCTCGTGCGCGGTCGCCGTAGGCCCTCTGCAAGACTTCCCCGTCGAGCAGGTGCGCGCGCGGTGGAGGGCTGCGCCGGTGACGAGCGTGCGCAGGCCTACGAGCACGTCCCGAAGCCTGGCACGGTGCTCACGCAGGTGCTCTTGCTCCGCCGGGAGGGCTGCTGCAGGTGTGCCGCAGACGGGCTGCAAGCGGTTGCCCAGGCACCTGAGCTCGGCCCCACAGTGGCCCCCGCAGAACTCGTCCTCGACTGTATTGGCGGCGGAGGTCTTGACGACAGCGTTGGCCAGCTTCGCTTGGGACGACGGCCGACCACTGCGGGCGCGAGGCTCGGTGGGAGTTGCAGTTGCAGGGGGCGCGCGGGTTCCACGCTTTTTGCTTGCTGGGGCGTTCAGGCGGAACCCGCCTGCTGCGAAGATGGACGGGGCGGCGGCGAGGGCCTCGGCGAGCGCATCCCGCCTTCCTCCTCCTCCTCCTCCTCCTCCTCCTCCTCCTCCTCCTCCTCCTCCTCCTCCTCCTCCCCTCCTCCTCCTCCTCCTCCTCCTCCTCCTCCTCCTCCTCCTCCTCCTCCATCCTCCTCCTCCTCTATCCTACCTTCCTGCCTTCCTTCCTTCCTTCCTTCCTTCCTTCGTTCCGTCCTCCTCCTACTCCGCTTCCCGTTTTCTCTGCTTCCCCCTCCTCCTCCTCCTCCTCATCCCTCCTCATCCTCCTCCTCATCATCATCATCATCATCATCATCATCATCATCATCATCATCATCTCATCCTCATCCTCATCATCCTCATCCTCATCCTCATCCTTTTCCTCCTCCTCCCTCTCCTTCTCATCATCCTCCGCTTTTCCCTCCTCCTCCCCCCTCCTCCTCCTCCTCCTCCTCCTCCTCCTCCTCCTCCTCCTCCTCCTCCTCCTCCCCATCATCCTCATCATCATCAGCATCATCATCAGCAGCATCATCAGCATCATCATCACCATCATCATCATCATCTGCGTCAGCATCAGCATCCTCATCAGCATCATCATCCGGGAGACTGTTGTCCCCCTGAAGCTTGTGAGGGGCGGCTTCTGCAAGTCGATGCGCAATTTGCAGTGCTATGGCGCTCCGCTTTTGAGTTTGGTTGCCTCCGTCTATCTCCCGTCCCCTGCCGCGGCGAAATATGTGTCCACGGCGGGGCAGGTGCTGACATGCCCGCCGCGCCCTGCGATCTCACCCCGTGCGATGACGGCTCTGAGCAGTGTGGGGCTCCCTGAGCGTCCTCGCCTCGAGCTCCCGCCGCGCGCAGCGGTTCATCGCAGTCCTGACGCTGATGCGTTCCGGACCGCGTGCCGTGAGATTGACCGCTTGTGGCTCGACGACGAACGGGTTCCTTGGCTGGCCCGCGTGTCCTGGAGTCAGTCGTCTGCGCTATAGCGAGCGCGAGCGGTCCGTGACTCGGCGAATTCGATTCACCAGGTGGGGATGACTTCCGAGCCGGTTTCCAAATCACTGTACAGGATTCTTCGGCGACGGGCCCCAGACACCGGTCTTCGTGTGAGATGATCGGTGCCAGGCTCGAGAAATGGTCCCTTGTCCCTCCTCCTCCTCCTCCCCCCTCTGCTCCTTCCCTGGTTGTCGCCCGCCTCCGGACTCTCAGCCGAAAGTGTAAGCCTGGGATCGTGTCGCATTTGATCGGCACGATTTGTAACTGCTGGTATACTTCAGCCCGTTTCTCGCAAAATGTGTTGCAATGTAGATTATGTGGCACTGACGGCGGAGACATAATCAAGCACTACCTTGAGTGCCCCACCTATTTCGGATTTGTGAGTGACTTAACGCTCTTCCAGTGGGCTCGCGACGCCCTGGCAATGCGGGTCAAGCAGTGGTGGCTTGCTGAGCACCCTGGGCACACCCGAAATAGTTCAATTCAGGCTGCTCTTGTCAACGAGGCGGTTTGGGAGGTGTTCACTATGCACGTGCGTCCCACGTGGTCTGCCCTGTTGCCCAGTGGACTGCCCATGTTCGGTCGAGGTTTCGAGCGCTCGCTCGCTTAGACTCGCGGGTTCGGCATTTGATCCACGACATACTTCGATAGATTAGTGGGCGGCAGTGGTACGGTTTATACGTAGGGTGCAGGTTTTGTTCCCCTTCTCCCTCCTCCTCCTCCTCCTCCGCCTCCTCCTCCTCCTCCTTTGTCTGCGCTTCCTCTTACTTCACTTTTTAGCTCAACTGTTTCACCTATTAGCTCTTTGGCAGGCTCATGCGGCGGCGACTTCGTGCAGTGGAGCATTCGATCATCATCATCATCATCATCATCATCATCATCATCATCATCATCATCATCATCATCATCATCATCATCATCATCATCATCGTCATCGTCATCGTCATCGTCATCGTCATCGTCATCGTCGTCATCATCATCACCATCATCATCACCCGCAGCAGCAGCGTCATCGTCATCGGCATCGTCATCGTCGTTCGCATTATCATCAGCAGCAGCAGCCTCATCAGCATCAGCATCGTCATCATCTTCATCAGCATCATCATCATCTGCATCGGCATAATCATCATCATCAGCCTCATCATCATCATCATCAGCATCAGCATCATCATCATCATCATCATCATCATCATCATCATCATCATCATCATCATCATCATCATGATCATCAGCATCGTCATCGTCGTCAGCATCCTCATCCTCATCCCCATGTTCATCCTCATCGTCATCCCCCATTCCCTCCGCCTCCTCATCATCATCCTCCTGGTCCTGCTCCTCCTTCCCAATATCATCAATATCGACACCAGCATCATTGTCAGCAGTATTGTCATCATCATGAACATCATCGTCGTCGCCATCATCGGCACCATCAGCATCGTCATCAGCGTCGCCATCATCGCCATCAGCATCATCAGCCTCAACATCGTCATCGTCATCAGCATCGTCATCCAATTCGTCAGCATCACCGTCGTCCTCATCGACATCATCAGCATCATCAGCATCATAGTCATGTTCACCATCATCGTCGTCGTCATCATCAAGATCGCCTCCTCCCCCTCCTCATCAAGGAGGGCATCGGTTGGAGGAGGTCACGGTCACCATCGCGGTTGTCGGGACGTTTTTGGATCTCGGCTGGTCGATGTTGAGGCTGTTGGAGGCAGCCAGGTCGAGAAATTGTGTGGAAGGTGCAGGCACACGATCGAGTCCCCATTTCTGTCGACGTCGGGGTTGTCGGTGTAACGCAGGCTGCGAGGCATACGCGGCCAGGTGGTGAGGCCGACACCGTCCCCTGCTTCTGGCTCCGCGGCCCCGTCCCGAAGCCATAGACGGCTGCTGGGCCGCCGGTTGATGCGGAGGCTTCGTCTACCGAGGGCGCCGACAACATGCCCCTCGGGCACGGCGAGGGCGGGTCCTCCGTGGCCGTGCTCGGGGATGCGAGCGGCGGGCCGGACGACACGTTCCCAGAGCTGTGCCGCGTCAGCGTGGGGACGCGGTCTTGGACAGCGCCTTCCTGCACACGGTCAGCACGGACCGCCCCATGGAAGGAGACAGACGGTCCATCGTGGCGGCTTGTTGGCGCTGATCCGATGTGTGGAGTGCACGTCGGCATATGCCGTGTTCGGTTGCAGACAGTGTGGCGGTGCACGACGGTGAATAGCACCAGCTCGAGCGGAAGCCCCACGGGCTTGATCATGACTTGTTGTGGAGGTTGAGCCCGTGCGCTCCAGCAGCGGGCCCCCGAGGGCCGAGGGGCCATCACGGGCATTCACGCGAACACGCACCTCGACGCTGAGCAGGCGGTGCAGCGAGGCGTTGTGGGCGCATTGGTCCGTGGCAACGTTTTTGCTGACCTTGCCGCTGGCTGCGTTGCCGAGGCCGCTCGCCTTCCAGCAGAAGAGCGCGCGAGAGCTTCCCAGATCGAGGCTACTGCGATCAGGGTATGGAGGCGGCTGCTGCGGTCCACGCTCGACGTGCTGGACGTGGCCCCGCGGCGTCAGGCGCGTGGATGTAAGCCGCGCCAGGCGCCGCCTGCTGCTGGAGTCGCCGCTGCTGTCTCCACGGTGCACGTGACCTGCCCGGATTGCAGCATTTGCGTTGCTTGTCGTTGCTCGGCATCGGTGGAGGGGCGCACAGAGTGGCGTGGGGTGCCTTGCTGGCCGCTGGCTCCTCGAGGCGGTGGAGAGCTGTAGGTCCGCCTGGGGGCACGTGCATCCAGATCGGGGGCCCGGCGGCCCACTCGAGCCACAAGATGGTGTTGCTGGAGGCCCTTGGAGCGTGGCAGCGCAGCGTCTGCGGGCTCTCCGCCCCCGTGGGCGGTCGCGCCCTCGTCGCGGGGTTGGCGGCAGCTTGCCCGCTTGCGCCGGCCCCACGGGCGCGGAGTACCTCAGGGAGACAGCCCGAGGCCTGTGGCCCAAGGCGGGCCGCCGAGGCGCGACTTGCGCCCGCGTCCTCCACCCAGCCGACGAGTGGAAGGACCAGCTCGAGGAGGAGGCGGCGCGCCTGAGCTCGCGAGCTCGGCGTCGCGCACGCGGGGCTGCTGGGGCCGCCTCGCCGCACGCCATCTCCGCGGGTTGCTCCACGGCAGGGAGGGGGCCCGCACACGCGTTCGGCGCGCGGCGCGAGGCCCCCGCGGTCGGGCCGCGCTCGCGCGGCCCCGACCGTCCGAGCAAATCCTCCCCCTCCTCGTCGTCCTCCTCCTCCTCCTCATCCGCCTCCTCCTCCTCCTCCTCCTCCTCCTCCTCCTCCTCCTCCTCCTCCTCCTCCTCTTCCTCTTCCTCCGCCTCCTCCGCGCAATCCGTGCGCTGGCCAATGCAGACGCCGAGGCCGGTGAACGGCTGCGGGACCTCTCTTTTCTCTCCCTTTATGGGCGTTCGAACTTCCCCCTCCTCATCCTCCTCCTCCTCATCTTCCTCCTCCTCATCATCCTCCTCCTTCTTCCGTTCCTCATCATCACGATCATCAGCATCATCATCAGCAGCATCAGCATCAGCATCATCAGCATCAGCATCATCAGCATCATCAGCATCAGCATCATCATCATCATCATCATCATCATCATCATCATCATCATCATCATCATCATCATAAGCAGCAGCAGCAGTGTCAACATCATCAGCATCATCATCAGCAGCACCATCATCATCGGCATCAGTATCATCATCAGCAGCAGCATCATTCACATCATCATCATCGTCATCATCATCACCATCATCATCATCATCATCATCATCATCACCATCACCATCATCATCATCATCATCATCAGCATCATCATACTTAGCATGATCATCATAAGCATCATCATCGTCAGCATCATCATTAGCATCATCATCATCATCATCATCGTCGTCATCATCAGCATCAGCATCGTCGTCACCAACATCAGCATCACCACCACCATAATCATCAGGATAATCATTAGCAGCAGCATCATCATCAGCATCAGTATCATCATCGCCATCATCATCGTTATATTCAGAATTATCAGCAGCAGTTCAAGCATACTAATCAGCAGTTGCAGCTGCAGCATCAGCAGCTGCAGCATCAGCATCCTCATCATCATCGTCGTCGTCATCAGCATCATCAACATCATCATTCGCATCAGCATCATCATCACCATCGTCATCATCATTACCATCATCAGTACGATCAGCATCATCATCAGCGTCATCAGCATGGTTATCAGCATTGCCGACGTCGTCCCCACCATCACCACCATCATCATCAACATCACCATCAACTAAAACCACAACAGCACCACCAGCAGCATCACCAGCATAACCATCATCATAATCACCTCAATCATCATCATCAGCATCACCATCATCCTCGCCAGCGGCATCATCAACATCATCAGCATGCTCGTCATCATCATCAGCATCACCACCACCATAACCACCAGCATCATTATCAGCAGCAGCATCACCAGCATAATCATCATCAGCATCGCCATCAGCATCGTCGCCAGAATCAGAATCACCAGCAGCAGCTCCAGCATAATAATCAGCAGCTGCAGCTGCAGCATCACCATCAGCAGCTGCAGCATGAGCATCCTCATTAGCATCGTCGTCATCAGCATCATCAACCGCATCATTAGCATCAGCAGCATCGACATCATCATCATCATCATCACCATCATCATCATCATCGTCATCACCCTCGCCATCATCAGCACCATCATCAGTACCATCAGCAGTGCCATACTCATCATCACCATCCATTATGGTTCAAGCGGTGGCATGGGTTGGGGCTCGCAGCTGTCATCTGTTTCACGACTCCGCCTCATCGTCCTAGCAGTCGATGGGCTCGCGCAGCCGCTCGCGCGAGCAAGTGCCAGCGCCAGCAGCCATGGACGGACCCACGATGATGATGCACTTCAGAGAGATGCTGCGCTCCGAGATCAAGGAGCCGACGGCGAAAGATTTCGCGGACGTGAAGACGTCCATCGACAACGCGCGCAGGGACGTCGAGAGGCACGAGGGGCGCCTCAAAAACATGGAGCAGGAGATCGAGGACTTGCGAGAGGGACGTTCGGCGGCTCCCTCATCCACTGCGGCTTCCTCGGTCAGGCATCCGCTGCGCCTCTCGGGGGCCGAGAGCACGGCGGCACAGCCGTCCGTGTCGGGGCCAAAGAGGGCGCGCGGCAAGATCTGCGTGACCACTGGCGGCTGGGATCGGGACAAACCCCGCGACGCCATCCTGGACGAAGCTCGTGCGCTCACCGACGCCATTCTCGACAAAGCAGAGGATGGGGTGTTCGTCCCGCTCAAGCGTGCCAGCTTCCTGAAGTTCCGTTTTACGAGTTCGGGGCGCATGTCGGCCTGGGTACGTTCGATGCAAGGGAAACAGATAATTATGCCGCAGCCACATCACGTGGGTCGTCGCTTTTGGTTCTCCGTGGAGAAGTCCTCGGCGGCTGTCAATGATGATCTCACGTGCGTTGAAAGCGCTGACCGACAACCTAGGCGCGCAGGCGGCGGACCTCGAGCTAGGCTACATTCGAGGCACCACCTGGCGGAAGCAGCACAAGTCCGGCGAGATGGCGAGGACCCCGGGCCCCACGAGCTTCAAGGAGCACGTCGCGGCCGGCATCAGCGCCCACACGGGCGCGCTCCTCAGCCTGGTCGGGTTCCAGGCCAAGGCCAACGCGGGCCAATGACTGGACAAGGAGCGGACTCTGGAGGAGTCCGAGGAGCAGATGCGCCTCATGCTCATCAGCTGGAACGCTCAGGGCATTGCGGAGCACAACGCCGAAAACTTGGCAGCGACGCTGCGCGAGCAGCACGACTACGACGCGGCCATCCTCCAGGGGGTCGGCTACTGGGGCAAGACCACGAGGCTAGAGGTCGGCGAGGGCGAACTCTACCTGGTCAGACCGCGGGCCGATGGGGCAAAAGCAGACGGGGCTGCTGGCGCGCTCTCGGGCTCGACTTTTTCTACGTGGAGATGCGCTGCCGTGTGGGGGGGGGGGGCCCGGCGGCGCGCCTATTTCGCATCCGCAAGAAGGACTACCGGATAGTATGCAGCCACCTTTTTCCAGCCCCCCCCCCCCCCCCCCCGCCCCTCACGCAGCACGAGGATTCGATGGAGGAGCCCTCCGACCTGATCATGACGGCACCGCCTGGGGCGCACCCGATCGCGGGCGCGGACGCTCAGACGGCCGCGCCCCCACCACAGGCGGACGACGAGCGCTGGATTGGGGACTCCCCAGTCGGCCAGCGCACGCGTCGCGCCGAAATGTTGACGAGACTTCTCACGCAGCACGACCTGGCGGCGACGAAGACGTTGACCGCGGCGGCCAGCGGACCCACCTGCCACTACGATTTCAAGCACCCGCCAGCCCAGATCGACTATGTCCTGATGCCTGCTCGCGATATCTGGAAGGTCAGCACCACGCTCGAGGAGATCACCGACAGCGCGCAATCCGACCACTCGGCCATCAAGCTGGAGTTCACCTCGGCACCAGGAGGCGCTACATCTGGAACGGAGGTCGCGCGCCCATGAAGGCCTGGACCTGCCTCGACAACCGCTTCCAGCGCTGGGGCCACAGCGCCTGCTACGCCGACCGCAACCCAGCGACGAGCACTCCCATGACGGACGCGGCGTACCTGGCTGCCGCTGCCCGTGGCAGTGGCCCGCCTGCGAGGAAGGTTCCCATGCTCCCCGAGGGCCACGAGCTCATGCAGACAGACGCTGCGGGTGTTAGAGGCGCGTCGGCGGGTCACCCGCGACCGCGCGCAGCGCGCGATCTACAGCAAGGAGATCATCCAGATTCGCAGGAAGATCTGGGCCGCGAACAGGGCCCTGCAGCACTGCCTACACGAGGCGGGCAATCCCCGAGCACGAGCGCCTCGCCGAGCTCAGCCTGGCCCGACCCACAACCAGCCGACGAACACGGAGGGGGGGGGCGGGGGGACCGAGGACGACCCGATGAGGATCAAGGAGCTCCTGGGGCGCGAGCACTGCAACACCTTCAGGGCCAGCGACGGGGAGGAGCCCGTCGGGGCCACTGCCTACTTCACGGCGGAGGCCGCCCTTCTCGCCCGAGATGCCCCGCGAAGCTCTGTGCGACATGAAGGTCATGAAGACTCCTGGCGTGGACGGGGTGGTCGCCGAGGTCCTGCGGGCCCTCGACTCGGGCTTCCTCGCCTCGCTCGCGGCCGTCATCGAGAAACGCTTCCGCGGGGCACCCGAGCATGCCGGGGGCCAAGCCTGGTCGAAGCACGCCATCCAGCTCATGAAGAGGAAGGGAGACAAGCACACGCTCAAGGGGTACACACCGATCACGCTCCTGACTACCTTCGAGAAGCTATATTCGGTCGGCCGGGTCAAGAAATGCGCCAACAAGTTGACCCTGCGGAGCCCACAGTACGCCTATCGGAAGTTCCACCAAGCGATGGACGTGATCTTCAGCATGCGCATGTTGGCGGAGAAGGCCCGCGAGTGGAACCGTCCCATCTTCACCATGGACGGCGATGTCGAGGCCGCCTTCGACCGCGCCTCGCACCGCTCGGTCGAAGAGACACTGAGAAGAAGGGCTGTGCCAAGGCCCGTGGTCCTAGCCATCATGAGGGAGTTGAAGGCCTCGGCGGCGATCAAGATGGGCCCCATCCAGACGCAACCAGCACCTCGGATTCGCTGCATTCGACATGGAGACCCAGCCAGCACGGCCCTCTTCAATCTAGTGCTGGAGGATGCCTGGGAGGAGTTCCCGGGCGAATGCTGGACACACGGCTAGGGCTACGAGTTCCCAGGCGAGGCGACGCTGTAGGAGGCGGGACTTCTCTACGCCGACAACTTCTGGCTGCACCTCCCTCGGGTCTGACCTGGGGCATGACGGCGCTGGACCACGAGTTCGGCGACTACCAGATGAGGGCGCTGGCCACCATGACGTCCTGACGCGCACGCCTCGTGCCGGGGGGTTGCCATGCCTCGGCCCTGCGTTCACCTTCGATGGAAGGTCATGGGAAGGACACAGCACAGGGTAGCTCGCGCCTGGAGAGCCTTCTTACGATCTCAAGATGTCTCTACCTGGACGCACCTGCCGCTGGCAGCAGGCCGCGAAGCTGCTCGAGCGAGCCATCATACCTGTCTTGCTCTATGGGTCGGGATCGCGGTGCCCCGCGGTCAAGCATGTGAATCTAATCCGAGTCACGCACCGCAGAATGTTCTCTCAGCTGATTTGCACGCAGAGATGGAAGGAGGAGACGCCGGAGGATTCCTGTCGCCGCCGATGGCGCCGCGTCTCTGCCGCTCTCCAGTTCCACGCGGCATGGGACATAGACGTGAATCTTCGCAGGCTTACCTGGGCTGGACACCGAGCCCGCCAGGCCGCCCTGCCAGACGCCACACATGCCCAGCTTGTGCCTGTCCATCTTCTACAGTGGCGCAGCATGGCCTGGCTCCAGATAATGAAACGCGAGCGCGGATCCCAGACGCATGGCTGCAGATTCAAGGCCTGGCGATGGGAGGTGGACCTCGCCTAGCTGCTCGGTTCCGATTGGCTCGCGGATGTTGGCCGGTGCAACAAGGAAGAATGGCTCCGTCGCGTTCGCCCGATCGCACGCCAGCTGCACTGACCCCAATCTTCTCGCGCCTCACGCGAGGCGCTTTTGCATGACGTTTCTTTTTTGGCGGCTTGACGTGCCGCCTCAGGCGCTAGGGAGACCTTGAGGGCACGGTACAAAGTGCAAAATGCATCATCAGCATCACCGTCATCAGCGTCGACATCATCATGGTTCTCAGCATTGTTGGCGTCGTCCTCGCATCATCAACTAAATCCACAGCACCACCAGCAGCAGCATCACCAGCATAACCATCGCCAGAATCATCACAAGCATCGGCATCATCAGAATCACCATCATCCTCGCCCGCAGCATCATCACATCATCAGCACCATCAGCATCGCCATCAGCATCATCATCATCATCAGCATCATCATCATCCGTGGCGTAACCCGTACGCTGGATAGTGCACGCGGCGCGGCTGGTGGACAGTTGCGGGACATTTCTTTTCTCTCCCCGTATGGGCGTGCGATATTCCGGTTCCTCCTCCTCCTCCTCCTCCTCCTCCTCCTCCTCCTCCTCCTCCTCCTCCTCCTCCTCCTCCTCCTCCTCCTCCTCCTCAGTGTTGTTTCTGTCCCTCATCCTCCTGCCCCAGGGACTGTTGGCGGACACCGTCATACCAGAAATCTTGCGGGCGAGCCCGCAGCGGCGACGGGGGCACCGTCAGACCAGAGAACGGCCCAAAACGTGGATATTCGATCGGGGTGCACGTGACGGTGGTCAGCACTAACGGTGCTCAGCCAATCCAGTTGGCTTGGGTCAGTGCGGCCACGAGCCCCCCAAAAAAACGTTCGGCGCCGCGTAAGAGTGAGCTTCCGCCGGACTCACAGGGGTCCTTCCAGCATTCGCTTGCACGCTTGGATTTAGTCCCCCCACGGCCCCCTGAAGCTACGCACCGAAAGCCTCTTTGTTGCCCAGGGTCGCTTGCGTGTACCCGAAACGCGGGCGCCCGACCCTCGTGCTAAATCCTCTGCAGGGGCCGCTGAGGGCCCGAAACCGTCGATTTTCTTCAGGTCTCGATCTTCTTCAGACCTCGCCTCTCGATCGAGGACGACGCCGACGGCCACCACCACCACCATGACCAATGGGGTCAAACGGAAGAGGGGGAGAGGGAAGAGAGGCGTTACGAAATGTGTTGTTTGCTGCCGTTGGTTTCGGCCCCGCCGCCAGGCGCATTTCTCGATGCAGTTGCGCTTCTGGCGCCGAGGGGGGCCAGGAAAATCAGCCACGCGAGCTGATTTTCACCCCAACCCCCCCACTTTGGTATGCCTCCCTCGTCCTCCTCGTCCTCCTCCCTCTAGTCCTCCACTTCCTGCTCCCGCCGTGCCTCCTCGGCCTCCGCATCTTCCTCCTCCTACTCCTACTCCGCCTCCTCCTCCTCCTCCTCCTTCTCCTCCTTCTCCTCCTCCTCATCCTCTTCCTCCTCCTCCTCCTCCTCCTCCTCCTCCTCCTCCTCCTCCTCCTCCTCCTCCTCCTCCTCCTCCTTGCCAGGCTCCGTCGCCGAGTGCAGCTCAGAACATGCGTCACGCCACGTTGTTCCTCTTCCCGCCTTGGCGCATTGCCGGGGAGGGGGGCCCGCGCTGCCTCCCTACGGGCCGCTGTCCTCTCTCCGTCCCTTTGGCTACCGCCCCCGCCTTCGTCCGACGCGAGCCGCGACGGCGGCGGCGACGGCGGGGGAGCGCGGAGCGCGAGACGCCGTCCCGCGGCCGCCCACAGGTGGTCAGGCAGGCCGCCTGCAAGGCGCCCCGCCGCTGGCTGGGGGGGGGGGGCAGCGCCCTCCTGCTCCTCCTCCTCCTCCTCCTCCTCCTCCTCCTCCTCCTCCTCCTCCTCCTCCTCCTCCTCCTCCTCCTCCTCCTCCTCCTCCTCCTATTCCTCCTCTCCTCCTTCTCCTCCTCCTCCTCCTCCCGCTCCCAACACGGGGCCAACAGCGAGCCCTCGTCGATGCCCAGGCACTTCGAGGCTCGGGCGCTGCTGCCGCCGCCGCTCTGAAGGCCGAGGAAGGGAGGGCAGGTGAGGAAGTATTCTGTCGTCTACGCTCTGCCTCCTCCTCGGCCAGGCACTGAAACGAGGCCTTGCTCACGCCAGGGCGATCCCAGCAAGATGGGTAAGACAACGCGAGGGCGAACGCTGCGCCCATCCAGCCGCCGAAAGAGTCCTTGCGGCATTGAAAACTTTGACAACATGTTAGGGACTGGATTGACTCGCCTGCTGGCGCCAGCCATGAGCCATGCATATACATATAACTGGGGACCAGGCCCAAGGGCCCGGGGGCTACGACCTCTACGTGAAATGAGGGGCCCAGGGGCGGGGCCTGCTTTTGGGGGTCCCAAAGCGCGCGGGAGAGCAGTCCGACGGGCGTCACGGCGCCCCAAGACAGTCGCGAACTTCCTTCAAGATGGCCTCCGGTAGGACCTAACCCTACGGCCCGAACCCTAAGCCGAAGACCCTAACCCTAAGCCCCTAATTTTTCGACCATCATCCGAAGATCCCAACCCTAGGACCCCAACCCGTTACCCTAATCTTAAGACCCTAGCCCTTACCATCACCCTATGACCCTGACCCTGAGACCCTAATCCGAACCATAAGTCCGTGACCCTAATATCCAAACCCTATCCTTAGGGCATTCACCCTGAGACCCTGACCCGATCCCCAAGACCCTAACCTTACCCCGGCACCCTAACTTTAGCCCGAAGGCCTGGACCCCATCCCCCAGGCCCTATGCCGACTACCTTAGTCCTAAGATTGTAACCCTAGCCCTAAGACAGGCCTCAACGATAGGACTCTCGAACCCTCAGGCCCGAACCCGAAGACCGAACCCTAAGACCCGAACCCTGAACCTCACACGCGAACGCTAGTACGTGCACACCTACAGATCTGCCGCCGTTCCTGGAGGCAAGAGTTGGAGCGTCCCCAGGTACGTTCAATGTTGATTCAAGAGGTTTGCGCTATTCCGCCGACCCCCTAGAGAAGGGAGGAACGCATGGAAGTTGTCTGGTGAATTCTGCCTTTTCCTTGCATCAGCCATGAACGATATAATTTATAATATTTGTTTTTGTTATGGGTGTTGTTGCTGGTGGTGATGGTGTTGTTGCTGGTGTTGTTGATGTTGTTGGTGTTGTTGTTTCCTCACAGTGTATGCTGGAATCACGCTCTCGCGTGGGACTTCCTCGCAATTGATTCACACGCCGCGCCCTCGACACTCAGGAATCACGCTCTCGCTGTGGATGTCCTCACGATGTAATTGGGAATCGCTCTATCGCTCGAGACTTCCTCGCGATTCATGCAGGACACACTCTTCAGCTACCCGCCTGCCCCTTGCCCCTTCCTTCCATCCGTCCTCTCTTCCCCTGCCTTTGGGGCTGCGCGAAATACACGTTGCAGTTAAGAAAGATATACCCCTAAGGGGGTACGATCGAAGACGAAGAGGGCGGGTATCGAGGGTATGGGATATACTGATATACGTGTTGAATGACACGCGTGCTGATAAGAGCGAACAGTCTTAAACTGATTGTTGGTGGTGGTGGTGTTGTTAGTGTTGTTGTCTCTCTCTCTCTCTCCCCCCTGTCTCTCGACTCACTCCCTTCACCGCTCTCTAGGCTCTAGGTTCCAAGATGCGGTTCGCGAGGTGCTCGGGCCCATCTCGCTTCGGACATCCTCAGAACCCTGGCTCCCCAGAGTCCCTCATATGGGAGGCCGCGGTCCACCCGCACATGCCGTGCCTGCACAGGCCGCGCATTCTCAGAAAGCCGCCTCGTGTCGGCCACGGCCTCGCCAAGAGCGATCACGAGGATGGGCTGGCGTCCCCCGCACTGCGCGGCCGTGGCGAGCTGAACCCAGAGTTCCAAAGGTCCAAGGATGTTGCAGGCGAAGCGGGCCGGAACGCTTCAAGTTCGCACCTCTCGGAGACCGGGACTCCGAGGACACCTGAAGCCAGATTTGCCTGAGCATTTCGTGAACTGTATCCTGGAACCCAGAATCATGAGCATCGTTCGGGCGAAACGGGCCAGAGCACCCTCGAGTCGAGGCATCTTGAAGCCCGCGGCTCCGAGGATGTCTCAAGCGAAGCGGGGCCGCACACCTGGCGGATCGCATCTTGGAACTCAGACTCGTGAGGACGCCTCATGCGTCCTCACGAGTCCTGGTGATCCGCCCTCCGTCCTCGTCATCCTCCTCCCCTCCTCCTCCCTCCTCCTCTCCCCCATCCACCCTCACCCTCACCCTCCGTCCTCGCCCCCCTCCTCCTCCTCCATCCTCTCTCCCCTCCTCGCCCCCCCCCCCCCGCTCACCCTCCATCTCGCGTCAGACCATCTCGGAACTCAGGAACTCAGAGCACCTCGATTTAGACCATCTCGGAGTCCAGGGTTCCGAGCACCTCGTGAACTGCATCTGAACCCCCCGAGGAAGGAGAACGTTTCCAGGCGAAATGGGCCAGGGCTCATCGGATCAAGGCACCTTGGGGCACGGAGTTTTAGATGTCTCAAGTGAAGCGGACCGAGTATTTCGAGAATCGCATCTTGGAATGCAGAGTTGTGAGGAAGACTCAGGGGAAACAGGCCACAGCACCTCAAGTCAGGGCATCTCGAAGAGATCAGAGTGTGTGGCACAAATGGAAATAGTAAGAAGCTGATCAGTCATGTCATGGATGTCATGGCCCGAGTGTGCGTGATGTGCGCTTGAAGGTGACACTGAGAAGGGCTTCCTGGGGCTGCCCTGGGTGATCGGGGAAGCCGGGGACCAAAAGGCCGATAACACAAACGAGACACCACCAGATTGTGATGCAACAAGGAGGAGCCGGATGAGGAAGAGAGGAAGGAGGAGGAGGTGTTTGGGTTGTGGGCTGGAGTCCTCATGGATGTTTCTTGCGGTCTATTCGGAGGGCTCTCAGGAGCTGGGGGTGGGGAGCATTCGGGAGGCCCCTTGGGAGCGTCTTAGGAGCCTCTTGTGGCCCTCTTGGGGCTTCTTGGGGGCCTCTCGACAGCTTCGTGGAGTCTCTTAGAGGCATTTGGGGACCTCCTGAGGGCCTATTGGGGCCGAGGGCTCGAAATGTCCGTTTGCGTCTCTCATGGAGCTTTCTTGGGGGTCTCTGGGGCCGGCTGGGGGGACTCTTGGGCCGTCTCGGCGCTCTCCTGAGCCATTTTGACGCTTGTTTCTTGAGGTCCTCTTGGGGCCGAGTGTTCGAAATGTCCGTTTGCGTCCACCGTGTGGGCCCTCTCTTGGAGCTGTCTTGGAAGTCTCTTGGACCGTCTTGAGGACTCGTTGGCCATCCTGGCGCTCTCCTGAGCCGTTTTGACGCCTTCTTTGAGGCCTTTTGGGGCCATCTTGGACCGATGTGTGGGGGCTATTGGGCCGTCTTGGAGCGTTGGGAATCCGCAAAGGCGAAGACACCAAACCGTTCAAAAACCTGAAGAAAAACAATTGGTGTTGCCTCTTGGGCCGCCCTCTTGGGGGGTGTTCTTGGAGACCTCTTGGGGCGTCTTCGACGCTTTTTTGGACAGCCTTGAGGTCATTTTGGGTGGTCAGAGTGTCTTTAGCGTGTTGGAGCCCAGCATGAGCCAGCACAGATGACATCTTCGTCATATTTGGGGCCACGGGACGTGCCCGCTGCTGTTCTGAGTGCCTGCTGCTGTTCTGAGTGCCCGGGACTCCCGTAACACGCTGGCGAAAACCGTTCGTCACAGTCGGAGGCTTGCGTTGACATTCCGAAGCACGGTAACACACATCTTCACATCAGCATGTCAGGCGCCGTGGACGTCTGCGCAACGAGTGGACGACCACGGTTCATATGGAAGCATGCCAAGCCGATGTCCGTTCAGATTTCGTGCGCGCCGTCAGCGCTTGTGAGAGCTAAGAGCACGGCGTTGGACAGCTGAGAGCGTCCTTGCGCCTTTGGCGTGCGACGTACGACGCGTTTCTGCCGTCGCTCGGATAACCGCAACCTGCATCCTGGCAGGTCAGTGCTGTGCAGCCTTGGCTGCCCCTTCGCAAGTCTCCACCCAGAGTCTGACCCGCAGTACCACCCCTCGGTCCAGCTGATCCTGTCCTGAGTGCCGCTCCCGCAGTCCCATCTCCGCGGCCGCCCTCCATCCTTCGCCTTAGTTCCCGTGGACAGGGAGCTAATTGTTCAATCGTTTCGCTCATTCCGCGGGCCCATCTTGCATCACCGTTGCTCTGTCGGCGTGCTCGTGGCTAGCGGGGAGCAGCAGGAGGAGGCCTCTCGATGGCTTCTTGGGGCACTCTTGGCGCCAACGTGGGTCGCGGGCAAGACGCCTCCGTCGGAGGCGTATTGGGGTCTCATGGAAGGTCTTGTGGAGGGACTGGACAGGGAGGCTCACTAGTATCTGAGGGCGAAGCGAGGGAACACTCCTCGCTCTCCCTCGGCGGGGGCAGGCTGCCCGCGAAAAATCTTCCCTCGGCGGGCCACCTGTCGGCACTGCGCGGCCGCAGACTCCTCGCCCGAGGACGCTCATCCAGCGCCCCCCCCCCCCGCAGAGACGATACGGTGGGGGCGTTGGTCAAGGAATGTGCCCAGGAGGCTTCGGACCCTGGAGGACTCCTCAGTTGATGAGGGCGGCGGTGATCCGGTTCTGGCCCACCACGCTTCGGCGCGACACGCCATCAATTTCCGTGTCCCCAAGCGCCAATATCCTGAGATTGGGCTGGCCTCCGGCCAGTGCCGCCGATCTTGGGGGGGTGAGACTCGGGGACGTCTTTGGAACTGTCTTCGGGGCATCTTGGGCGGTTCGAGCGATGTTTCGGCGATTCCTCTTGGGCTGACTTGGGCGGTCGGGGCTCCGGAAGTGTAGTTTTCTATACCCCCCTTGTCCCCGGGTACCGAAAAACGTCGGAAATCACGTCGGAGATATCCCCGTGTACCGAAAAACGTCGGAAATGGCGTCGGAAATAACGTGCTCCCCCCCCCTCCCCCCCCCTGCAGAGCGAAGCTTGAGCGAGCTCAAGTCCACGCTCTCAGAAACTCACACGCCGGATCGGCGGATTTCCCGAGCCTCCCGCCCCGCGAAGTGGAGCGACACCCTATCCATTTGCACGGGATAGCGTGTCGCCAGAGCCGTCGCGGCGACACGTTGAGCAGAAGTCCCCGTCGGTATTTGATGAGGGCGGCGGTGACACGTACAGTCAACCCGCATAGAAAGGATGAGCGATTTTCCACAGCCGTTGGCCAGCCTCGTTCAAAAACGCCAACATGGCCCTCCAAGGCCCTTGCATCCTTACCGCGCACCCTTACTGTGTACGGGGTGACTAACCATGGCCAATCCACGATTCGAGCTCCACTGGCTTCCAGGCCCTGGATCCCCTGTCCAATCATTCCGTGTCCGGTGCCCTCGCCGCAAGGATAGGAGATCAACGGAAGAAACCGGTGGTCGAGGGTGGCAGGCTGTCTAGAGCGATCTCTCGTTCACCTTCGGGGGGGGGGTTCTACGCTCCCCCGGCCTTCATCCCCGAGGGCCTGCACGGGGGGAAGGGCGGCGGGGGCGACGCGAACAGCTGGAGCATCCAGGATGGCCCCCAGCTGGCACTGGAGGCTGCGGGGCGTCAGAGCAGTTGGGCCACGAGCCCAGCTGGGCTTGGACAGCCCGGGCGGCCACACGAAGGCCGCGCGGAGTGCGGGAGCGCGAGGAGCGCCCGAGGTGGTCGTGAACAGCTCCAGCGCGGCCCCTGCCGCTGGGGCCGCGCCCAGAGAGCTGGCGGGGCCGGCGGACCTCCCGCCCCCTCCTCCTCCCTCCTCCTCCTCCTCCCTCCTCCCTCCTCCTCCTCCTCCTCCTCCTCCTCCCTCCTCCTCCTCCTCCTCCTCCTCCTCCTCCTCCTCCTCCTCCTCCTCCTCCCTCCCCCTTCCCCCTCCACGTCGGCTCCCGGGACCCGTGTCGGAGCGCGCGCTGCCGGGGTCTCGAGGCGGATCCCGCCGTGGAGGCAACGCCTCCCCCGCCCCCCCCCCCCCGCCCACCCACCCCGGGAGGCCCAGAAGGGAGGGGAGGGCACCTCCATCTTCCTCTCGCCCGATCTCGGCGGCCAGCCCGGGGGGGGGGGGGGGAGTGAGAAGGGGCGGGCCTTCTCAGGAGGCTCGGAAGGCTCCCCGCCTTCTGAGAAGTTTTCTGAGCCTTCCCCTGAGACACAGGAAACCTCTGAGAAGGCGCGAGAGCTTCCTTCAGGGTGCGTCAGGGAGGAGCTCTTCATGAGGAACTGGCATGGAGGAGGCGGAGGAGGAGGAGGATTCTGACCTCTTTTGTGCCCGGTCTCCTGGACACCCCTCGCCATCGCGGGTGGACTCGGCCCGGGGACTCTGGCCAGAAGGTGCGCCATGACAAGTTCGACTAGACGTAAGAGCGACCTTTCGCCGGAGTGACCTTTGGTGCGGGCACAGATGGGTCCCCAGATGGCTGGAAACGAAGCAGGAACAGCGGCTTGCGCGCCCAGGTTTGGTCCCCCCGCGGCCCCCAAAGCCGCGCACCAACGGTCACTCTTACCCAGGGTCACTCTTGCGTGTAGCCGACCAGTCGTGGGGGGTGGCCTTTCTGGGAGGGCCCAGGCTCGGGGCGTCGTGTCGAAGCCGGAGGCGGCTACTCCCATGTCGGTCTGGGCATCCGGGGGCGGCGTGTCGGGCCCAGGGGGGCTGTCGAGCAACGACCCGGGGTGGCACGCCAGCCCTGGGCCGAGCGGTCTGCGGGGCCCGCGGCGTGGAACGGGTCACGGCGCCAAGGGCCTGGTCCGGGGAGGACGACTGTCGGCGGCGAGCGGGGAGGGGGAAGTGAGAAGGAGACCCGGAAGCCTAGAAGTGGGCAGCAGCTCCACAGATAGAGGGCAGACCGCTTTCAAGATGTGGTTCTCGCCCCAGCGCCGCGCATGTTCGTTTGAAAATGTGCGGGAGCTTCACGGATTGAGGGCGGGTGGCTTTCAAAACGTGGATCTCGCTTCAGCGCCGCGCGCATTTGTTGTGTAAAACACTGCAAGGACATCACGGATTGAGGGCGGGCGGTTTTTGAATTGTGGTTCTCGCCTTAGCGCCGCGCACAATCGCTTTCAAGTTCGCAAGAGTTTCACAGATTAAGGGCGGTTGGTTTCCAAAATGTGGTTCTCGCAATTGCACCGCGTACACTCGTAATTAAAAACAGTTGCAAGAGTTTCACGGATTGAGGGCGGGTGGTTTTCAAAATGACTTTCTCGCGTTAACGCCGCGCACACCCGTGCTAAACAATTGTAAGAGTTTCATTGGTTTCCATTGTTAGCGTACCAGAAACGGCGTCTTGCAACGATTCAGGATTGTCAGGGTGCAACAGTTACATTGATTCGCGGTGTTGTAGTCCCAGGAATGGTGTTCCGGCACGGTTCAGGATCGTCAGGACGCAACATTCATATTGATTCGTGGCGTTGAAGTCCCGAAAAGTGTGCGTTGGCATGCTTCAGGATCTTCAAACAGTTGTCCCCCAGGGGGCCGGTGAGGAGGAAGCTTGGGGGGAGGGTACATTCCAACATCATTGATGAGTCTTGGGTTTACACTGGTCCTCCGCCGCCTCATCCTCCCTCCTCTTCATTCTCCCTCCCCTCCTTCTCCTTCCGCCTCCTCGCCCTCGTCCCCCAGACCTTTCCCCTCAGTTACTCTGTGCCGTGGCGGGCGCCGTCTCCTGGCCGTTCAAGGACGCGACGTCGACGCGGTACCTCCAGACGGTCGACGAGTGCGCCCGGCACACGACCGACGCCATTCAGGTCGCCTCTTGTTCCTCCTCCTCGTCTTCCTACTCCTCCTCCTCCTCCTCCTCCTCCTCCTCCTCCTCCTCCTCCTCCTCCTCCTCCTCCTCCTCCTCCGCCTCCTCCCCCATCGTCCTTCTCGTCGGCTCCGCCGTTTCCCTTTTTTTTCCCTCGCCGCCCTCCTCACCCTCGTCCTCGACCTCCACCTGTCGCTTCCTCCGCGGCCCGCCCCTGGCCCCTCCCCCTGCCTCGTGCCACTGCCCCGTTGGTCCCCCTCGTCCTCCTCCTCGTCTCCTCCTCCTCCTGTCCGTGCGCCCCCTCCTCCGCGTTCCGCTCCTCTCTCCCAGCCCTCCACCCCTGCGCCGATCGCCCTTCCCCTCCGCTTGTCCGCCCTGTCCGCTTGCCCGTCTCTCTGAGTCCCGAGTCCGATCATCATTCCCTCTACTCCAGATTTCGTAATAAAAGGGAGGGGGTCACAACCCTCCCAGACCACAAGTTTTAGACCCCCCCAGACCATCCATGAAAGGGCGGCACTTTGCCGAGACCCCCCCTAACCCTTCAAGACAGCTCAAATCAGACCCCCCCGCCAAATGTAACCCCCCCTACTTTATTATGGAATCCGGAGTACCGCTCCCCGTTCCATGCCGCCTCACCCCTGAGGCGGAAAGGCAGGCCGTCCGTAGTAGATTCGCCTGTGGTTGGCCCTGCTGGGCGCTGTCTCGCGATGGCCCTCCTGAAGGGCAGCGCAGCTACTCTCTCGTTTTTTGCTCCGCCCGTCCACTGCCGTGCTTGCCTGGCCCGCCCTGCTCTTGCCCCGCTTGCCTGTCTTTGGTCCGCCCCTCCCTTGCTGGCCGGCGCTGCTGCTCTCCACCCTTGGTCGCTCTTCGAGGATGGGGCCTCGAGGATCGAGGGTCTTCCTTCTCCTCCTGCTCCTCCTGCTCCTCCTCCTCCTCCTCCTCCTCCTCCTCCTCCTCCTCCTCCTCCTCCTCCTCCTCCTCCTCCATTCTTTCGCCTTCTGGACCCCTCCTCCCTGTCGCACCCCGAGGCCGGTCCGGAGGGCGGGCCCGGCGTTTCGCCGGAGACGTCCTCACCATGGATGAGCTCGAAGTTCGGAAGCTGGCAGCAGCTTCACAGATGGAGGGCGGGTCCGCCTCGGCGCCGCGCACATCCGTTTTCAGACTTCGCAGGAGAGCTTCACGGATTGAGGGCGGGTGGCTTTCAAAATATGGCGCCCTCGCTGCAGCGCCGCGCACAGTCGCTGCAAGCATGCGCAAGAGCTTCACGGAGTGAGGGCGGGACGTTTTCAAGATGTGGTTCTCGCCTCAGCGCCGCGCACATTCGTTTTTAAAAATGTGAAAGAGCTTCACGGATTGAGGGTGGCTCTTTTTCAAAATGTGGCGATCGTCTTAGCGCATCGCAAGAGGCTCATTGATCCTCATGGTTAACGAACCAGAAATTGCGTTTTGGAACGATTCAGGATTGTCAGGGCGCAACGTTACGTTGATTTGGGGTGTTGAGGTCCCAGGCATGGCGTTCTGGCACGGTTCTGGATCGTCAAGACGCAACAGTCTGGTTGACTCGTTGCGTTGAAGTCCTGAGAATGGTGCTTTGGCACGCTTCCAGACTTTCACACGGCTGTCCCCCAACGGAGCAATTCCCTAACGGGAAATGAGCCCTCGTAGAGGTCTATGACGAGGGAGCTTGGAGGGAGGGTGCATTCCAACATCGTTGATGATTCTTGGGTTTACATTGGTCCTCCTCCGCCTCCTCGTCCTCCTCTTCGGGGGTCGGCTCCCTGGACCGGTTCACCGGGTGCGCTCCTGCGAAAGGGACCGCGCTGGCCGGGAGAGGGCCGACAGGACGCCAAAGCAGGCACGCACAGCCTGGATCATCCGTGCTCCCCCCCGCGCGTCGAAGGTCAGAGGCTCCTGGGGCGGGGGGGGGGACGCGGGAGGCCCAGAGAGGGCCAGGAGCGCGCTGAGACTCTCTGGCCTGCGGCGGTGGGAGCGGTCGCTCCGGGGTCGAAGCGGCTACCAGGTGGCGGGAGCACGCGTGCGAGCTGGCAAGTGTGCGCACGAGAAGAGGCGTGGAAGAAGGGAGAGAGGCGGCCGCGGAGAGGGCCCTCGGGTGCAGTGCTGCGGCCAAGAGCTCCTTGGGCACGTGGATCCTCCAGCCTCGACCTGCCGACGGCGAGGACAGCGACGGCGAGCGTCCAGAAGCCTCGACCCCCGAGGGGACCGGGCGGTGTTCGCTCGAGCGTGAGCCCTGACATCTGCCGATCTGATGATTTCAGTCCGCAGCACCAGCAGACCCCACCCCAACCCCGGAGAAGGGCAGCCTCGACCGAGCCCCGCGTCGCCCGAGGGCCGCTGCGCCCGAGGCCGGCTGCGCCCGCCCAGGATCCCGCCTGCCCGACCCGCCCGTTAGGGTCCGCCCGCCCGCCCCGCCCATCAGGGTCCGCCCACCCGACCCGACTGGCCCGTCAGGGCACGCGCGTGCCAACTCGATGACGCATCATACCGTACTGTCGCGCCCGCCCGACCCGACCCGCCCGCCAGGGTCCGCCCGAGACGGCGACGGCATCGGCGGCGGCGGCTTCTTCGGCGGCGGTGGCAGCGGGCCTCCGGGGAAGCGGGCCCTGGAGAAGCTGGCATCCAGCGAAGCGGGCCGGGGCGAGGATGGCCCCGGCGAAACGTGCCCCGGGGCGAGGCGGGCCTTCGGGGCGAGGCGGGACTCCGGCGAAACGGACCCATGCCTCCTTGAGGATAGCTTTCCGTGCCGGGCCCATTCCTTCTGGCCCCGGACGTCAACCAGAAAACGCCGATTGAAGGGATGACATCGTCGGAGATGTGGGGTTCGGACGACGAGGAGGAGGAGCAGGAGGAGGAGCAGGAGGAGGAGGAGAAGGAGGCGGAGGAGGAGGGATGCGGGAGGAGGAGGAGGAGGAGGAGGAGGAGGAGAAGGAGGAGGAGGAGGCGGAGGAGAGACAGGCACGCGAGCAAAGGACCGCTCGAAACGAGTGCCCAACCAGAGGAGGCTTGGGAAAGATCATTCGTCGGAGATCTTGGGTTCGAGCACGAGCCTCCGCCGCGAGTCGGCCGGCCCACGGTCGGGCCGCCTTGGCGCCAGGAAGGATCTCGAGCGCCGTCGCCATCCGCGCCGTCGTCGAGATCGCCGTCGCCGCCGCCGACGACGGGCGCCGGCGACGGGCGTCGACGGGCGGCCACCGCCAGGTACGCCATCGGCGTCGTCGTCGTCGAGACCATCGGCGTCGTCGTCCTCGCCGTCGCCCTCGTCGTCGTCGTCGCCCTTGCCCGAGTCAACCTGGTGAATGCGTATATGCATGTGTGCAAATGTGTGCAAGCCTCAGACCAGACTACGGGCCATGGAACCTTGGCCATGTTGCCAAGGGTGTGATATGGCCAGGGAGCTCTCGTGCCGCTGCAGAAGCATAGGACGGCAGAACAGGCCTCCGCCCACACAGAGTGGGGGCCTAGGCAAGGCCATACGTCTGTCGTCTCATCACCGAGCAATGCCCCCCCTCGCAATCCAAAAAAGTCGCCGTCGCCCATGGGCGGCCCGCCCTGGGCGCCCCGCACGGTGGGCCCGCCAGAGGTGGCCGCGGCGGAGGCTCTCCACGCCCTCGCGGCCCACCGCTTGAGCGCGGAGCTGAGCCGGAAGGCCCCCCGCCGGGCCTCTGCCAGACGACGACGACGACGGCGACGGCGACGGCGACGGCGACGACGACGACGACGACGACGACGACGACGGCGACGACGACGTCGACGGCGACGGCGACGACGACGCCGACGACGCGACGACGAGGACGCCGACGACGACGACGACGACGACGACGGCGACGGCGACGACGACGACGACGCCGACGACGGCGGCCACCACGACAATCGGCCGCCCGATCCCCCCCGGGCCCCCGGCCTCGGCCGAGGCGGGTGGGTGCGTGCGATCACGGCCGCTGCTCCTCGGTCTCGGGGGCAGCGTGTATGGGCTCCTCCTCCTCCTCCTCCCCATCCTCCTCCTCCTCCTCCTCCCCCTCCTCCTCCTCCTCCTCCTCCTCCTCCTCCTCCTCCTCGGGGGCAACGTGTGTTGACGGGCGAAGAACGGTGTAAAAATAAACGTTTTCGCCGTCGGGGGCGCCTGTCCCGGCGGCTGGAAAGTTCGTACCCTTATTAGGGTGGCACCGTAGGGGTATAGACTTTCCAGGCGCCCAGGGGCGAGTGTCTCCGACGGCGGAGAGTTTATTTTATACCGTTCTTCGCTCGCTGAGTATGGGCTCAGGGGGGAGGGAGGTTCGATGTTTTCGGACGCTTCCGTCGCTTCTCGGCGGCTTCCAGCCGCGGGGTCTTCTCAAGCAGCTGCGCCTCGCCGAGTGGGGCGTCCAGGGGCGCCCAGGTCTTCCCGAGCGGCCGTGCGAGAGCCGAGGCCCGAAAACCAGGTGGCAACGTTGGGGGAGATAGGCTCAGGGAGGCACGCACCGACCCCCCATCGCCCACTGATCGCCGATAGTCGGGGGCGGCGAAGAGGGGGGTGATGACTAGGGGGGGGGGGATATCATGACGGGGGCCATGATATTTCCCCAGATTTCATTGCGCCTCTTCTCATTCCATTACGTCCCTGGCCCCCCCGCTGGGCCGCGCACATGCCGCCGGTCATGATTTGCACCCCCCCCTCTTTGACGCCCCCCTCTTTGCCGCTCCCGAGATAGGTGCGAGGTAGCCCTCCCCGCCCAGCATCGTGCGGAGTCGCTATCAGGGGCCCATCGCCGATCCACCGGCGATGTATCGCCGATTCCGGCTCGATGTTTCCCCCCTGGAGCCGGTCCCCCCCCTTGCCCCTCGGCGTCCGGTTCAGATTCCGGCTCTGCGGCAGCCGCTCGGGACGAGCTGGGCACCCCCAGAGCGCTCTCGGCGAGGCGCAGTTTCCGGAGAGCACCGCGAGGTTGCAGAGCCGGCGAGAATGTCCGAACGCCTCGAGCAACGGACCCTTATCACCCTCAGATCTGGTCACGACTGGCACTCCTCCCGGCCCTCGGGACCCTCACGGACCGACCCGGCTCGAGGAACGAAAAGATGGAGTCGGGAGTTCTGGGTCGTGTTCTGTTCGCGACGTTGTTTACCGGGCGACGGATCTCGGGGGATGCACAGGCTCGCAGACGTTGTTGGACGATCTGATTGCCTCGGGTGCGCACACAAACGGGGAAGGGTCATGGAGGCGGCCTTTCCAGGGAGGCGGCCTTTCCAGCCGCCTCTCGAAGGTGCGGGGCGCGTGGTCAGTTGGGGGCCCGCCCCCACTGAGAAGCCCCCCTTGCCTTCTCAGAAGGCCGCTCCCGTCACTCTAGCCCACCCTTTCTTGCTCGCTACCAGCAGTCGCCCGAACCCCTGGACCCAGCTGCCCGGGGCCAGGGCCCAGGCTGTGGAAATGTGGGTCTCCTTCAGACATGCGGTTCGGGCGCGCGATAGGCACGCCGGAAGAAGACATCCCACAGAAGCAGAACCTCATCGGCTTTAAGCACCTCGCCCCTTTGTTTGTCACATTGGGCCAGCCACGCATGGCCCTAAGCTGTGAAGAAGAAGAAGAAGAGGAAGAGGAAGAGGAAGAAAAGGAAGGAGGGGCCCCCTGCCCCCTTCCTGGAGGAGCGCAGCCGCGGGGGGGGAGGGCGGAGCGGCCATGTCGGCCTGGAAGCTGCCCGCCCCCGAAGGCCCTCGGCAGCTACATCGCGGGCCTCAAGAAGGCGGACGAGACAATCGCCGCCAGGAGGGCCCGCCGTCTTTCCCGGCGCCTGCCTGTGCGTCCGCCCCTGCCGCTAGCGCCGCTGCCGCCACCAGTACTGCTGTGCCGCCTCATGGGTTCCAGTTCGCGCGGCAGGTTCGGGGGTTGCTAAAGGTGCCCCCTGGCCCAAGGTGCCCCCAGCTTTTCGTTCGGCTTGGGGGCCCCTGAGGCCCTCTGGGCCTCGCGAGGGGTGCTCTGGAGGCCGTGGGGGCCTCGTTGGAAATCCTGGGGGCACCTTGGACCAGGGGCACTTCTAGCAACACCCGGCAAGTGGCCGCCCCTCCTCCTCTTGCTGCTCCTCCTCCTCCTCCTCCTCCTCTCCTCCTCCTCCTCCTCCTCCTCCTCCTCCTCCTCCTCCTCCTTCTCCTCCACCTCCTCCACCTCCTCCTCCTCCTCCATTGATTTCCTGACAAGTGACTCTTCCCTGTCGCACCCCGAGGCCAGTCGAGAGGGCGGTCCGGGCCGTTCGCCTGAGGCTTCTTTACAATTCATGGTCCTGAAACTTCCGGAAATTGGCAACAATTTCACTGGAGGGCGGTCGCTTCCAAAGTGTAGCTCTCGCCGTAGCGCCGCGCACATCCGCTTTCAAAATTTCAAGAGCTTCACGGCTTGAGGGCGGGTAGTTTTCAAAATGTGGTTCTCGCCTTAGCGCCGCACACTTTCGTCTTACCTCATGGATTCCCATGGTTAACATACCAGAAATGGTGTTTGGGAACAGTTCAGAATTGTCATGACGCAAGATGTATGTTGATTCCCAGTGTTGAAGTCCCAGGAATGGTGTCTTGGCACGATTCAGGACCGTCAAGACGCTACAGTCAGATTGATTCGTGGCGCTGGAGTCCCGAGACTGGCCTTTTCGCACGCTTAAGGACCTTCAAACGGTCGTTTACCAACGGGGAGTTTCCTTCAGTGGAAAAGAAAGAACCCTTCTAGAAGCCTACGTATCAAGAGGGGGCTCGGAGGGAGGTTTTCCGACATCGACGATGAGTCTTGAGTTTACATTGGTCCTCCTCCTCCTCCTCCTCCTCCTGCTCCTCCTGCTCCTCCTCCTCCTCCCACTTATCCTCCTCCTTCTCCTCCTCCTCCTCCTCCTCCTATCCCCCTCATCATCATCAGCATCATCAACATCATCATCACCATCATCATCACCATCATCATCACCATCAGCATCACCATAATCATCATCATGATCATCATCATCATCATCATCATCATCATCATCATCATCATCATCATCATCATCATCATCATCGTCGTCATCGGCATCGGCATCGTCATCATTGTCATCATCATCAGCATCATCATTATCATCATAATCATCATCATCATCATTCTCATCCTCCTCCCCCCTCCTCATCCTCCTCATCCTTCTCCTCTCCTCCTCCTCCTCCTGCTCCTCCTCCTCCTCCCCCCTCCTCCTCCTCCTCCTCGTCCTCCTCCGCCTCCTCCTCCTCCCTCACTCCTCCTCCTCCTCCCCCTCCTCGTCCTCCTCATCCTCCTACTCGTCTTCCTCCTCCTTCTCCTGCTCCTCCTCCTCTTCCTCCTCCTCCTCCTGTTCCTCACGTTCCTCCTCCGTATCTTGCTCTTTCTCCTCTTTCTCCTCATCATCAACATCAACATCATCAGCAGCATCAGCATCACCATCATCATCATCACCATCAGCATCATCAGCATCGCCATCAGCATCATCATCAGCATCACTATGATCCTCATCCCTCCCTTCTCCTCCTCCACCTCCATCTTCCCCTCCTCCTCCTCCTCCTCCTCCTCCTCCTCCTCCTCCCCCTCCTCCTCATCCCTCCTTGTCCCCCTCCTCCTCCTCCTGATCCTCCTCCTCCCTCTCCTCCTCCTCCTCCTCCACCTTCTCCCTCCCCTCCTCCACTCCTCCACCTCCTCCTCCTCCTGTTCCTCGCCCTCCTTCTCCTCCTCGTGTGTTTCCTGAACCTCCTCGTGTAATCCTCCTCCCCTCCACCTCCACCTCCTCCTCCTCCTCCTCCTCCTCCTCCTCCTCCTCCTCATCATCATCATCAGCATCGTCATCATCGTCATCATCATTATCATCATCCGACTCCTCCTGCTCCTGTTCCTGTTCCTCCCCCTCCTCCCGCTCCTCCTCCTTCTCCTTCTCCTCCTCCTCCTCACTATCATCAGCTGCAGCATCAGCAGCATCATCATCGTCATCATCATCAGCAGCATCAACATCATCATCATCATCATCATCATCATCATCATCATCATCACCATCAGCATCACCATCATCATCACCATCAGCATCAGCATCATCATCATCATCATCACCATCATCATCATCAGCAGCATCACATGCATCAACATCATCAGCAGCAGCAGCAGCAGCATCAACCTTAGCATCCTCATCCTTATCCTCATCCTACTCCTCTTCCTCGATCTCATCCTCATCCTCATCCTCATCCTGCGTGTGCCCCAGGGCCCTCGGGTCCGAGGAGGCCCCGAAGCGAGCGGACCGCGCGCAGCCGAGCGCAGCCCCCACGCGCCCCGCGCCGCTCAGTCTTCTCGGCCTCCCTCCGCCTCCGCCGCTCCTCCACGCCCTCTGCATCCATGTCTTTCCCTTATAGATAATTTCTCCACGTCGCACCTCGAGGCCAGGTTGCAGGGCGGGCCGGGCGTTTCACCTGAGACTTCCTCACTACTGATGATCTTAAAACTTCACAAAAGGTTCACTGATGGAGGGCGGGCCGTTTTCCAAGTGTTGCTCTCGCTTTAGCTCCGCGCACGTTCGATCTAAAAAGTTGCAAGAGCTTCACGGACTGAGGGCGGGCGGTTTTCAACATGTGGTTCTCGCCTTAGCGCCGCACATATTCGTCTTTGAAGTTGCAGGGGTTTCACGAATTGAGGGCGGCTGGTTTAAAAAAATGTGGCTCTCGCCTTAGCGCCGCGTTCACTCGTTTTTACCATTTGCAAAAGCTTCGCGGATTGAGGGCGGGTGGTTTTCAAAATGTTGTTCTCGCTTGAGTTGCGCGCATTCGTTTTAAACGTGTGCAAGAGCTTCACGGATTGATGGCGGATCCTTTTCAAAATGTGGTTCTCGTTTTAGTGCCGCGCATACTCGTCTTAAACAGTTGCAAGAGTTTTCACGGGTTCCCATGATCAACGTACCAGAACTTGAGTGTTTGAAGGACTCAGGATGCTGAGGGTGCAACAGTTACGTTGGTTCGCGGTGTTGAACTCCCAGGAATGGTTGTCTGGCACGATTCAGCATCAGCAAGACGCAACAGTCAGGTTGATCCGTGACGTTGGAATCCCGAGAACAATGTTTGGGCCTGCTTCAGGGTCTTCAAACGGTTGCCTTCCAAGGAGGCAGTTCCTTCAGTGGAAATGAACTATTGCATGAGGCCTCTGAAGAGGGGGTTTGGAGGGAGGGTGTATTCCAACATCGTTGATGATTCTTGGGTTTACACTGGTCCTCCACCTCATCCTCCTCCTCCTCCTCCTCCTCCTCCTCCTCCTCCTCCTCCTCCTCCTCCTCCTCCCCCTCCTCCTCCTCCTCCTCCTCCTCGTCCTCCTCCTCCTCCTCCTCCTCCTCCTCCTCCTCCTCCTCCTCCGCTTCCTACTCCTTTTCTTTTCCTCTTCCCCCTCCTTGGCGCACCCCGCCGTGGAACCTTTACCTCCTCCTCCTCCTCCTCCTCATCCTCATCATCATCATCTTTTTCCGTCTCCTCTACCGTCTCCGGCCCGTCCGCGTTGGCGCCCGCGTTTCTCATCAGTCCCCTCGGCCTCCTCCTCCTCCTGCACCATGGCATTCGGGTTCATGGCGCTGCATTTGCGGATGCGGCAAGAGCCTTTACTCGTGGGCCAGTTGGAACATTGCGACGAACACTGGTCCAAATCCGTCCCATGCTACGTTGCACCCCATGGACCGCCCCGGGCTTGGGTGCAGCAGGGCCGGCTCAATTACCCCAGCGGGATGCAGCTGAATATGGGTGACCAGGTTCCTTTTCGTCATGGGCCTGTGGGCGCCAGGATTGCCTCTATTCGTTCACAGTCAGCCAGCTTCCCCGATGACGAGCTCAACTTCGCCCTCGGGGAGAAGGCTGGCCAGCATGAGATGGTCAAGTGGCATAAGATGGAGCTCGGGCGCTGCCAGCAGCAACCGCCCCCTGCAAAGCGCCGTGCTGCTGAGGCGTTCCGTCACGTTGGGTGCTTCAAGAAGAAGCGTCCAGACGATGTTTCGAAGGCCGACAATGTTTCCGTGCAGTTCCAGAATGCGTGCGACAAGGTTGATTGCACCGATCCCGAGTTGTCCGAGGCCGAGGAAGAGTATCAGACTGCCGCGCCTGGGATCCACACCCAGATGGTGGGCAGCGCGGTTACAGCAGCCAGCGCGGGCCCCCCGCAGCCAGCTCTCGCTGGAGACAATCCTGGACGGCAGGCTCAGCTTCCTCGGCGCTGACGCAGAGAAGCTGTTCGGCCTTGACGACTACATCGACGCTTCAGACGAAGATCGCGCTGAAGCTCAACGCCGTGTAGATACACGTTTTACAGGCATTCGCGATTTGGCCACCAAGCTTGTCGGCGAGATCCAGAAGAAAGCTGAAGACGAGAAAGCAGCACGTCAGATCCTATTTGCTCGCGTGCTTGCGCGGGCGATGAAGCACCTGGAGGTGGCTTTGCGGCAGGAGCAGTTCAGGGGGCACCCGCGGTGGCTACTTCGGGCCGATCGCCGGCATCGGGTACAAGTGCTGAGCCAGCGCCTTCAGCCGCTGCTTCGGCAGCTGCCTTACCCCCCCCCAAAAAAAAAAATGGGCCGCTGGTTGTTTTTTTGCCAAGGGCCAAGGTAAGGGCGCTTCGGCGGCGGATGGTCAGAAGCCAGCGCCATTGCCTTTGGAAATCCTCCCTGCCCGAGTCGCAAGGCTCAGTCTTCTCCCCATACTTGCAGCAGTTTGTCTCCCCAGACGCGCCCGCCGGGCTTCTTCCCTTCTTGCGCGCCCCAAGACAGCCTGGGGACATTCGTCGTTGAACGCAAGCGTTAAACGGTCAACGCTACGTTCTGGAAGTCAGAATGTGGAGGGAGGGCCACGAAATAGTTGCCGCAAGTCACAGCGAGCGTGCTCTTGATCCAGGAGCACCACCTTTTGGAGTCCGAGATTGACAACGCCCCCGCTGGGGCGCGCAATCACGGATGGGCTGCTCCATTGATCCTTGACACTCGGGGCGTTGGTCACGGGACTTCAGGAGGGGGTTGGATTCTGGCTCGCTCTGGTCTTGGCTTGCACTGTCAATGGGGGCCCTTGCTCGCGCGCCATTGAAGAGCACCGAGCAGTAGGAGGTCGTCGCGATATTCCAGGGGCCGGCCGCCGTTTCGTTGCCAGCACGCACCCGGGGGACTCAGAGGGCCCCGCAGAGGCGAACATCTCGGCCTCGGCGAAAGTGGGAGCCCTTGCGGGTGAGGCCCTTTTATCGTCGATTCTGGGAGGCCCTCAGATTTACAAGCTTGTTTTTCCAATCCCTGGAGATTGCGGGCGGCCCGTCTTCGACCGCGGATTCTTTTCAATGCGTTTGCATTGCGCGTTGTCCTTTTGTTTGTAAATATATAAAAGAGTGGATTTTGCGGATTGACGCCCTGAACTTTTTCCCGGCCACGGGGGGCCGGCCCAAGGCAGTCGAAGCTCCGCGACTACTGTCGCTTTGAACGTGACCCCTCACAGTGCAGATTGAGTTTCACGAACGTCTTGGCATCCTTCATGGGCTCGTTTTTCGCGGACCTCCGCCAATCCCCGTTGCCCCATGGTCGGCCACGTTCCCGGAACGCCGTCGCGCGCCGAGCTCCCTCGGCAGCATCGCGCGCTGGGCAGGGCCGCCCCCGCGCAGAAGGCCATGGACCCACTCGACCAACAACGGGCCTACCTGGTCGAAGAAAAGCTCCTGGGGGCCCGCCAGACCACCCACGTCTCGGCTGTCGCGGCAAGCCCCCCAACGCACTGGGCCGGCATCCCCGCCAAGCACAGGCGAGCCCCCCACCGCCAACCAGGGCGCTTTCCCACCAAATGGTCGGCCAGTTAGTCTCGGCCCCCACTCCAGTCGACGGCTGCCCAAGCAGACCCCGCCAGATCAGCGAGTCGACGCAGCTCTTGCTGAAGCCGCCCGACTTCCTCGCCGCGGGGATGGAGCGCGCACCCATTGGCACGATAGGTTTCGCGCCCTCCTCTCAACCCGCCCCGTGGACGTCGAGGAGGGAGAGGAGTTGTCGCAGCCTTTGGAGGTGCAGTTCCTGGGTGTCGTTTCCAAGCCCGAGTCGGAGGTCATCACAGATTGGAAAATCTGGTCACTCGATTCGGTGGATATCGGGGGCTTGGAGGGAGCGCCAGCAGGTTCGCCGGCCCGCCCAATGGGGGCCCGCGACAACCCCCAGCCGCGGGCAACGCAGGTTCCGATCCATTGGCGCTTTTCGACGCAGAGGCGAAGAAGTTCCGCGCTCTTTGGCGAGCCACCGGCAGCAGGCCGCCCGCCAGCGACGCGACTGAATATTCGAAGCCTCTGCCAGAGATGGACCCAGACACGCTCGGGGCACCCGGCTGGAGGTATTCAGCGAGAGCGAGCGGCCGTTGCCGTCGATGGTTTTCACTTCAAACACGGCAGCATTCATTGCGGCGGTTCCCTGGTCGCTCTTGTAAAAAGCATTCGCATCATGGGCTCATCGGACCCTTGTCCGATCCAGCTTAGCGCGGTGGCAGCGGTGATGTTCAGCAAACTAGCCAGTGAGTTCCGTCGCCCGATTGACATGTTCAGCCGCGTTTACCTGCGGCCGGGCCGCATTCGTCCCCCGCCGACGAATCTTTGGGACAAGTATTCTGGGCAGCCCTACTTCGCGGCCCCAGATTTCAATTCGGCTGTGGACGTAGCGCGGCGCCAAGGGTTCAGGAGTGAAACATCGGTCAGATTTGCAGAAGTCTTGGCCACCGTCCACAGGGACCTCTACAGATGGAGTGGGTCATCCGATTTTCGGGATCTCCTCGGGCGCTGCAGTCAGTGCGGACCCCCTTTCAGCTAGGGCGCCACGCCGCCAATGCCGGCCGCCTGGGACGGCACGTCTGCACGACCGGGGCGGTCGTCGGATGTTTTTTACACGCAGAGAGGCGCCGCGGTAGGCTGCTCTCCCGCCGCGCCACCCAACCGCGCGCGCGACGCCCCGTTTTTGGACCGCACCCGTCCGTCGCAGAGAGTTACCCTGGACGTCTACATAGATGTTTACTGTTTGAGCTTGTCAGGATCCTTTCGCGAAGTTGCGAATAGCCTCGGGGCCGCTGCCAGAGACCTCCAGAGGGCCACTGAGGTCAGCATGGGGGCTGTTATATCGGAAGACGCAGCCTCGCTCGCGTCGTCGTCGTTCGTCGCGGCCTCGGAGCCCCCGGGGGCCCTGGTTGGCCAAATTTGCGCGTCGGCCACCGACCCGGGATCGTGGACACCGCTGGCAGACCTCGTTGCGAGGCTGAACGCGGCAAGAGGTTCTTGCTCGGGCTTCGCCTCGCCCGAGCACCGTTCCTCCCGATTCGCTTCGCCCGAACGTCGCTGCGCCAGGGTCGCGCGTCGCCAAGGTCTCGCTGCGCCCTGGTCCCGCGTTGCCAGGGACCGCTTCGCCCGGGCCTTAATTCTCGCCCGACGTTCGTTTTGCCCAATTCTCGTTGCGCCTAGAGCTCGCTTCGCCGGGGCACCGGTCAAACCGGGCCTCGATTCGCCCGAGTCGGCCGTTCTCTCGGGCCTCGTTCGAGCCCGCGCCTTGCTTCGCCTGGTCTCGGCCTCGATTCACTCGAGGCTCGCCCTGCCCAAGTCGGGCCTCGCCCGGGCAGGGCGCGAAGGGAGCTGCGCGCAGCAGCAGAGGGAGGGCCCCACCCTCGGCATCGCTCGGACGCGCGCGTGTTTCTGTCGCCGGGGGCCACCCCGACGACGACGGCGACGACGACGAAGGCCGTCGAGGAGACCACGGCGGCGGCGACGACGACGACGCCGACGCGACGAAGCCGACGGCGACGACGCGCCTCCCTCGCACGGGGCCGCAGGAGAAAAAAAAAACCGGAGGGCGGGCGCCCGGCCGACGGCCGGGGCACCTGCCGGGGCCCCGCCCGCCAGGGCTGCTATACGCCCGACCCGCCCGCCCGCAGCGAAGAAGCCCGCCCGCCCGCCCGCACAACCCCCCTCGGGCCGCCCTCGGGCGTCGCGCGGGCGCGCGCGCGCGCGCTGCTCTCCGCGGCGAGGGCCCCCGAGGAGCACGCGCGGGCCATCTGCTGCAGGAGGGCGGAGCGAGCGCGCGAGGTCGAGAGGTGCACGGGGAGAGGGGGCGTCCGAGCGACGGCGGGTTCCCTGCCTTCCCTTCTGGAAGCCTGCTCTCGAGACCTGTCCGGGTCCCGTGTACTCTCCCCTCCCTTTTCTTGTCCTGCTCCCCCATCTGTCCCCTCTCCGCTTCCAGGCGCTGCCCCCGACATTCCCTCGGTCCCCGCGTCTCTTTTCCACGCGTTTTCTCTTTCTCTGTTTGTCTGTCTGTTTGTCTGCTTCTCTCTCTCTCTCTCTCTCTCTCTTTATCTCTTTCTCTCTTTCTCGTTCTCTCTGTCTGTCCCTCTGTCTCTCTCCTTCTTTCTCTCTCTCTCTCTCTCTCTTTATCTCTTGTCTGCCTCTCTCCCTCTTTCTTTATTTCTCTATTTCTATCTCTCTCTCTCTCTCTCTCTTCCTCTCTTTCTCTTTATGTATCTCTCTCTCTCTCTCTTTCTCTCTCCCTTTCTTCCGTTATCATTATTTTTCAGTGTGTGCATATATATACATATATAAATATATATATGTATATATATGTCGTTTATGTGTCCCCCTCTCTCTCGTTGGCCCTCTTTTCCTCTGGCGGTGTGCCCAGTGACATGCTGATTGTGTGCGTGCCGGCAGTTCTGCACACCTGCGCTCGAAAATTTGGTCCGTGTTCCGCCCTCTTTGGTTGAACTTGACCCTGGTCGTTGGCGACGAAGCAATGCAGTTGCCTTGGGATGTGTGCTTTGCATTCGTCTTCCTCGATTCGACATGTGGTGGTCGCTTCCCTGATTGTGGGCCTGACCTTGATTTTGGATGGTCCTTCACATGGGCTGCCACCGCAGACCCTGTCGTCTATGCTTCCTGGATCGGTGTGGTGCTTACTTCCACGGACGCCTTCGACATCTTCCTGTCGTGCAAGCCTGCGCGCCGGCATACGCGCAAAAATTGCATGCTCTGAGCGTGCTCCAGCGCCTGCGGTTCCCCCCCCCCGTTCCCCCGCTGCTGCGCCCACTTTGGTGGGCAGGTGGACCAGCGACGACGACGGCGACGGCGACGCGTTCCGTACATGAAGCATTCCCGAAAGAATTTCGCCTTCGAGGTTCGAAGGGGTTGCCATCTCTTCCACGGCGGACAGCGGTGGAAAGTCGGCGAAAGTTGGCGGAAGTAAAACGAGGGTGGATCCAGTGGCTGAAGGCGACCGAAGGCCAGCGGAAGCTGGCGGAAATAAAAATTGTTTCCCCAAGAGATGGCAAGGTTTTGTCAGGTTTTCCGGAACCTGCTACAGGTGTGAGCCAGCGAAGACAAGCACTGAGGTGATTTGCAACGCAGAGGAGGGATTGCAACTGCATCGCATCAGCGTGCCTTTTTTCGTCAGCCAGAATTTGCTTCGAGAAAGACGGGCGACGGCGACGGCGACGAGTTCTGGCGAAGCCAACATCAAGCGAACCTTGACATTGGATATCTTGATTTGTTTTCAATACGGGGTCCTCGGAAATCCCGGCCCGTTCCCCAAGGCTGGTGTTTTTACCCCGAGTCGCTTGTTGACGGTCCCAGGGCCTGGCGAGGGCCCACTGCCAAAAGCCCTCCCGCCGTGATTTGCTCACGACGTGAGCACGTCTGGGAAGCAAGCGCCGGGGCACCGGCGAGCCCCGAGCGAGGGCGACGACCCACGCCGCCCCTCAGGAGGGGCTACGTGCTCTGCATCGGCGCGCTCCCGCCGGCGGTGCTGCGCGAGCAGTGCGCAGACGTCCTCGCCACCCTGGCCGCCGAGGCGCAGGGGCTGGGGCTGCCGGGCGGCAAGGAGCGGCGCCGTTTCTGCGCCCGCTGCTGCGGCTGGCTGCTGCGCTCTGCGGCTACGTACGGTAGGTTCGTGTCGTGTCGACCGGCGGCGACCCCGTCGCCGACGTTCACCGCTGAATGAACTGACGTTTCGGAAATTGCCGATCGTTCAGGGATGAACGATCCCCGCGGTGTCAGGAACCAACGCTGGGGTCGACACGACGCGGACCTGCGGCATTCAAGTCTTCGACGATATGACTTGTTTACTACGGGCGTGTTTCCTCGATTTCGGCCCTTGGGGCCCGCTATCGGGCCCCGGACCATCAAACATGGATCCGCGGCGCAAGCCTACCCAAGGGGAAGCGATCGGGAGGTCTGGGGCCGCGGATTCTAGAAAATCTGATCGGAGGATGTCAGGGAGTGCCGTGTGCTGCGCGCTGTTGCTAACCGCCGCCGCTGTTGCGTAGTGCGGTATACACGCTGCGTGATACGACTGTTGTTTCTGCGGCAACTGTTGCTGCTACCAGTCGCATTATCTGTATTAGTAGTAGTAGTAGTAGTAGTAGTAGTAGTAGTAGTAGTAGTAGTAGTAGCAGCAGCAGTAGCATTAGTAGTAGTCGTAGTACTAGTAGTAGTAGCAGCAGTAGCACTAGTAGTAGAAGTAGTAGTACTACTACTATTACTACTACTACTACTACCGCTACAGACTAACTACTACTACCTACTACTACTACTACTACTAACTACTAACTACTACAAACACCTACTACGACTACGACTACGACTACGACTACGACTACGACTACGACTACGACTACGACTACGAACTACTACTACTACGACTACTACTACTACTACTACTACTACTACTACTACTACTACTACTACTACTACTACTAATGATAGTAATAATAGTACTAGTAGCAGCAGTTGTAGTAGTAGCACTAATAGTAGTCGTAGTCGCAGTCGTATTAGTGTAGCAGTAATCATAGGAGTAATAATAATAGCAATATTCGTAGTAATGGTAGTAGTAAGAGTAGAAGTAAAAGTAGTAGTAGTAGTAGTAGTAGTAGTAGCAGTAGTAGTAGTAGTAGTAGTAGTAGTAGTGGAGATAGCAGTATTAGTATAGTATGAACGATTAGTAAAATAGTAGTAGCAGTAGAAGATAAAAAAAACAGATAGTAGTAGTAGTCGTCAGTAATATCGTAAAAGTCGTCGTAAGTTGTAGTAGAATAGTACAGTAGTAGTAGAAGCAGCAGCAGCAGTAGTAGTAGTAGTAGTGGTAGCAGTAGTAGTAGTAGTAGTAGTAGTAGTAGTAGTAGTAGTAGTAGTAGTAGTAGTAGTAGTAGTGAGAGTAGTAGTAGTAGTAGTAGTAGTAGTAGTAGTAGTAGTAGTAGTAGTAGTAGTAGTAGTAGTAGTAGTGGTAGTAGTAGTAGTAGTAGTAGCAATAGTCGTAGTAGTAGGGTTGCACCTGGTCTTCGTGTCGCTACAAACCTCACCTTCGTGTACTCTTCTTTTGTATCAGGCCTAATAGAACTCCTACCAGGGGAATTACGAAAACCGTAGTTTCAAACCTGGCCTTCGTGTCTTTCGCGCCAATGCCTACCTTCGTGCACTATTCGCTGTAGAGGCTGTAGATTGGAGTCGTATTAGAAAGTGAACAAAAAACGACAGTTTTACACCTGTCCTTCGTGTCGACGTCGGATTTGGAGCAACCGCCACTGCCAGCCGCTTCATTTCGGCACAACCCTCTCGAGGATCGTGAGCCTGGCCCTCCGACGCGCGATTCCGGCGCGCACTTCACTAGGATCGTGGCCCTGGTCCAAGTGGGAGCGCTGCCGAAGGCCCACCGACGTCCAATTCCGGCACGCCGCTCACGAGGATCTTGTCCTGGCCCACCTGGGAGCGCTGCCGACGGCCCACCGATGAGCAATATCGGCGCACCCCTCACACGTATCGTAGACCTCGCCACATGTGGATCGCCGCCCGACGCTGAAGTTCGGCGCACCTCTCACATGGATCGTGGCCCTGGCCCAATGTGGAGCGCTGCCGACGGCCCACCGACGGCCAATGCCGGACCACCCCTCACGAGGATCGTGGCCCTCTGGTCCACTTGAGAGTGGGTTTTCATAAGGACGTCGTTCTGGTTTTATTCGGGAAGGCATTTTGGTTTTATTCGTTTCTGGTTCGTGATGGTCAAGAGGAGGAGGAGGAGGAGGAGGAGGAGGAGGAGGAGGAGGAGGAGGAGGAGGAGGAGGAGGAGGAGGGGGGGGAGGTAGAGGAATGAGGGAGGACGGGCGGAAGGGGGAGGATGAGGAGGAGGAGGAGGAAGGAGGAGGAGTAGGAGAGGAGGAGGAGAGGAAGGAGTAGGAGTAGGTAGGAGGAGGAAGGAGGAGGGGGGGGAGGGGGAGGGGAGAGGGGAGGAGAGGAGGAGGGAGAGAAGCTGGGCGAAGGCGGAGGAGGAGGAGGAGGGGAGGAGGAGGAGGAGAAGGAGGGGGAGGGGAAGGAGAGGAGGGGAGAGGGAGGAGGAGGAGGAGGAGAGGATAAGAGGATGAGGAGGAGGAGGAGAGGAGGAGGAGCGGGGAGGAGGAGAAGGGGGAGGAGAGGAGGAGGTGGGACGGGGGCAGAGGAGGAGGAGGAGGAGGAGGAAGAGGAGGGGGAGGAGGAGGAGGAGGAGGGGGAGGAGGAGGATGAGGAAGAGGAAAGCGAACAGGAAAAGACGAACGCTGTGTTCTCGTTATCCACAATGGGTTTGCGAGCCTCACCTTCGTGTGCGATTGGTTATATAGCCCCTGTATTGTGTTCTTACGAGCGAACGGCGAAATTGTGGGTTTCCGAACCCCTTCTTCGTGTACTATTAGTATCAGTGGGCTTCCGAACCTCATTTTCGTGTACTATTAGCTCTATAGCCCCCTGTATTGTTTTCCTGTCAGCGAATTGCGAAATTGTGGGTTTCCGAACTCCTGCTTCGTGTACGATTCAACTCCGACTATTCTATGTTATTCTATGTGGTTTTAACTGATTGTGTGGAACCGAACCCGAACCCGAACCCGAACCCGAACCCTTACCCATACCCATTCATTCTCAGTAGACACGAAGGTGAGGTTTGACCCTAGTAGTAGTAGTAGTAGTAGTATTAGTCGTCGTCGTCGTCGTCGTCGTCGTCGTCGTCGTCGTCGTCGTCGTCGTCGTCGTCGTCGTCGTCGTCGTCGTCGTCGTCGTCGTCGTCGACTACTACTACTACTACTACTACTACTACTACTACTACTACTACTACTACTACTACAACGACTACTACTACTACCACTACTATCACCACTACTACTACTAGTGCGACTCTTACTACTACTACTAGTACTAGTACCACTACGACGACTACTACGACAACTACTACTGCTATTGCGATGGCTACTATTACTACTACTACGACTACGATTACTTTTATTACTACTACTCCTACTAATTCTACTACTACTATTGTTACTACGAATGCGACTACAGCTTCTACTCCTTCTACTACTACTACTACTACGACTACGACTACGGCTACGACTACCACCACTGCTGCTACTACTACTACGACTACTGCTACTACTACTACTACTACTACTACGACTACTACAACGACTACTGCGACTACTACTGCCTCATACTACTACTACTACTACTACTATTACTACTACTACTACTACTACTACTACTACTACTACTACAACTACTACGACTGCTATTACGACTACTGCGACTCTTACTACTACTACTACTACTACTACTACGGCTACTACTACTACTACTACTACTACTACTACGACGGCTACTACTACTACTACTACTGCTACTACCACTGCTACTACTACGACTGCGACTACGGCTACCACCACGACTGCTGCTACTACTACTACTACTACTACTACTACCACTATTACTACGACTACTACGACTACTACGGCCACTATTGCTATCCTACTACTACTACTACTACTACTACTACTACTACTACTACTACTACTACTACTACTTCTACGACTATTACTACTACTACTACTACACTACTACTACTACTACTACTACTACTACTACTACGACGACGACGACGACGACGACGACGACGACGACGACGCACGACTCGACGACGACGACGACGGACGACGAAAGTAAGTAAGTAGTAGTAGTAGTTGCAGGACGTAGTAGTAGATAGAAGTCGTAGCGATTAGCCGTAGTCGTAGGTTCGTAATGTCATAGTCGTATAATAGAGTTACTAGTAGCGTAGGAGTAGAAGCTGTTAGTATAATGAAAGGTCAAGAGCTAGTAGTAGTAGAAGTTAGTAATTGAATTAGTAGTAGTAGTGGTCATAGTAGAGTTCGTAGTAGTGGGAGTAGTCGCAGTAGTCGTAGTAGTAGTTAAGTAGTACTAGTTAGTATTAGTGGAGTAAGTGAGTGTAGTAGTAGTAGTAGTAGTAGTAGTAGTAGTGGTAGTAGTAGTAGTATGTGATAGTAGTAAAACAGCCAAACAAGACTCTAAGCTACTTAGTACTAGTACTAGTAGTAGTAGTAGTAGTAGTAGCAACAATAGTCGTAGTAGTAGTAGTAGTAGTAGAAGTCGTGGTGGCAATCGTAGTCGTAGTCGTAGCCGTAGTAGTAGTAGTAGTAGTAGAAGAAGAAGAAGTACTAGTAGTAGGAGTAGAAGCTGTAGTAGCATAACATAAACAGTAAGAATAGTCGTAGTAGTAGTAGTAGTAGTATTAGTAATAGACTTAGTAGTAGCAGTAGGAGTAGTAGTAGTAGTAGTAGTAGTAGTAGTAGTAGTAGTAGTAGTAGTAGTAGTAGTAGTAGTAGTATTAGTGTTAGCGGTTGTCGTAGTCGTACTAGTAGTAGTAGTAGTAGTAGTAGTGGTAGTAGTAGTAGTAGTAGTAGTAGTAGTAGTAGTAGTAGTAGGGGTAGGGGTAGTAGTAGTAGAAGCAGCAGTAGTCGTAGTTGTAGAAGTAGAGGGAACAATATGAGTAATAGTAGGAGTAGAAGCTGTAG